CGAAGTTTCCGTCTCTCGGAAAACGGCAAGCACATCCCGATCAATAGTTTCAGCGAGTTGCTCTGCGCTCTGAAGGATTTCACCTCTGGTGTGCGAGTTGGCGGTGTAGTACCTTCTGCAAGTCGTGTACGCTATCTTTCTGAGCCAAGCACCGAAACTGCTGACTTCGCGTAAGCCTCTGATGTTTCCCAGACTGCTACCCCAAATGTCTTGAAAAATCTCTTCAGCATCGCGGATCTGACGGGAGTTTAAGACAACCAGTTGCCAAATTCTGGGAGCTGTGGCGGGCTGCGAGTTGGGCGAATGCCTCCTCATCTCCGTCTTGCACGAGCTGAATGAGTTCGTCATCTGTCAGGTCTGTGTACGTTGATGAATCATATCGCATAGATAAATTCCCAATTAGATTTGCCCAATTAGACTTGCATTGATAAAAGAGGGGATTTTTGGGGAAAAGGTTTAAAAATTTTGTTTGAATAGCGGAATTTTGTGGACGACGCTTGTCGTAGGAAAACTTTTATCGCCGCCGTGATGCCATATCAAATCCGACTGCTGCGACAAGCACAACCCCTTTGATTATGTCTTGCCACGAGGCATCCATGTTCGCCATGCTCATTCCGTTGTTGAGGCTCTCCATGACGAACGCGCCTAAAATTGCACCGAAGATGCTCCCGCGTCCACCCATCAGACTGGCACCGCCGATAACACAAGCAGCAATGGCATCTAACTCCAGCAGCCGTCCCGCTTCTGGACTGGCACTCCCGACACGTGCTGTTATAACAACCCCAGCGATCGCCATCAGCGCACCCATCGTCGCAAACACCCGCAGCGTAACCCCGCGGACGTTGACCCCGGAGAGATACGCCGCTTCAGCGTTTCCACCGACCGCATATACATAACGTCCGAAACGGGTATGGTTCGCGATAAAATGAAATACGAACGCTAATCCGAATAGAATGCACACGGGAAACGGAACTCCTTTGTGATCATTCATCACGGAGATGAACGCCACAAGAGGGCAGATGTTCCGATTACTTTCAATAGTAAGGTGCGCAAAGATGCGGGTTCGGTCCCGTATTGTAGGCGTGCAATTCGCTGTCGGTAACAGCGGTATCCGTTGATACCAATCCAACGACCATGAGTCCCCATCCGAGTGATGACGAGAGATAGGCGTTCCAATCGCTTGAGCCAATTGTCTGGAAGCAGGATGGTCTCGCCTTTGGTAACGCTAACATCAACCGCGATACGCCAAAAATCCGCCCAATGTGACGATAAACGCTGGGATTCGCTGATACGCCACGAGGTAACCCTGCATTAACCCCATCAGAATACCGATGCAAATGACAGCGATGAGTGTCACGAGGATCGGTTGTCCCCACCACACGTGGATAATCGCGGCAATAGCACCGAGCAATCCGGCACCGGTAAACCGACAGAGAGATCGATATTAGCAGAAAACGATGACCAAGGTCATGCCAACGGCGAGAATAGCTTGTGACCGCTGCTTGACGAGAGAGGTTGGACAGGTTTCGAGTGCTGAGGAAGATGCCGTCCGGTCAGCAGTGTGAAAATCACCCCAAACGCAGACAGAGGGCAAACACCATTGCATACATGCGGAGATTCAGATGCTTCATTTTTTTAATAATTGGGTTTTTGCCCCGATTTTTCCGTTGTCAAAATCGGGTTTTCGATGAATTTGAAGCGGTTTATCACAATTAAGTCGTTTATAGTAAAATCCAAAAATAGGTGAACACTTTAAGGTAGTTAACCTCCCTCCCGCCCTTATCAGGGGGACTTTAAGAGGAAATACGTAAGTCCTATCATTATTCCGTCTTCAGGAATTACTTCTGTTCGGGGTGGAGCCTAATCCATTTTCAAGGGCAGCGGCATCCTGAAAAAACGAACGACGAGGCAAATTCGTCGGGGATCGAAATCGCACAGCGTAGCAGTCCTTCCCGAGAACCGTAAACCTCCAAATTCTCAAGCCAGATTTTACGAAATACGTCTGTATCCAGTGGAGCCATACCACTCGGCACCGCAGCTATCTTCATCATTTTTATCACATCGGAAGTGGACATTTCTGATGAATACGTATCCATTAACGGATCAATTAAGTGCACCTTCATGAATGCTTCCATCTCCTCTGAGTCGGAGATGATGTCCGGTTCGTTCACGATCAGTTCACGGAATTCAAAATAGAAGTCCATACAGATTTGGATTTGCTCATCCGTTGCCTCTGACGGGAGAATCTCTTTAAGCGCAAACAAGGTAACTGATTTCTGTTCGGTGGTGGGAACCGCATCAAGATAGGTTGAATAGTCCTTATAAGCTGTGCCGACTTGCTCTTCAAGGTAAGCCACATACGGTTGACTTGACAAAACCATATCCAAGCCATCCTGTTTTGAAGAATTTGCGTTAGGAGTTTTTTCTTGGCTTTCCGTTAAAGGTTTTTCCGCAGATTCTATCAGAACGCTTCTCGTTCCTTAAGTTGCGCTGCCATCCCCTTCATGAACCCTACTATTTCAAAGGTATGCTTTACCGCACAACTGGAAAACACAACCAGCATCGGAAGGAGCAGCAAAAGACAATGGAGCGAATTTTTCTTCAGGTCTCTGTGCCTTGTAGCGACTAATCGGTTATTTCGTTCCATGGGAGTTCCCTCCATGCATGCGGGGTTAATGTGCAAAGAGTTTCTGGAAGATTTTTTGGTCGTTGTTTCGCCGATTGTTTCTATAGAGGTGTTGCGAAGTTCCGCGATCTTTTCTGCCACAGCATGAACGTAGGCAGGTTCATTCCGCTTGCCGCGGCGAAACTGCGGGGTCAGCCATGGACAATCGGTTTCTATCAGCAGTTTATCTGCTGGCACTTCCCGTGCGACTGCTTGGACATCTTTGGCATTCGGGTATGTTACAATCCCTCCGATACCGATGTGAAAGCCGATGGCGAGACTTCTGTGCATTAATTCGACATCGCCGGTAAAACAGTGCAACACGCCTTGGATTTTTCCGTGCCGTGCTTCTAAAATGGGAAGGATGTCCATGTAGGCGTCGCGATTGTGGATGACAATCGGCATCTGCATCTCTTCAGCGAGATCCAACTGTTTTTCAAACGTCTCTTTTTGCACTGGGCGCGGCGAGAGATTGCGGTAATAGTCTAATCCCATTTCGCCGAGCGCAATCACCTTTGGATGTGCGGCAAGTTCACGAAAGGTCTTTAGCACATCAGGGGTCAAGTCCTTTGCGTCGTGCGGATGCATCCCGACGGTGGCGCAGATATGCGTATGTTCCTCCGCCAATTCCACAGCACCGAGGCTGGTTTCCATATCGAATCCTATGACAAGAATATGGGAAACTGAAGCTTCATGTGCGCGTTTTAGCACTGCATCACGATCCGCGTTGAATTGGGAGAGTTGGATGTGTGCGTGTGAATCAATAAACATATTTTGTGGTCAGAGATGGTAAAACCCAACGCGTCATATCCGGTGCGGTTGGATGAAGTTTAAATAAATATTTCGGTAATTCGGGGTTACAAACCCCTCCCACATTACCGATTTAAATTCTTAATCTTCACGAAACCGCACCTACCGGGTTGGAGTTAGGTTTGAACATATTCCCTTGAAAACTTACATCAACGGTGTTCGGATAACGGTCTCAAGTGTATGTGCACGGGGTGGTTGTGTCACCAGAAACAGGATTAGATCCGCCACATCTTCTGGGAGTGTGAGATGCTCAATCACATCATCTGGATGATTATCGCGGCGCATTTTGGTATCTACAGGACCGGGACAGACAACTGAGGCTTTTACACCGTACGATTTTCCCTCATTATTCGTTGTCTCGGTGAAGCCGACAACGGCGAATTTAGATGCACAATAGGCACCGCCGTTGACGTGTCCAAATTTGCCGGAGACCGAGGAAACATTGACAATGTGTCCATACTTCTGTGCACACATGTGGCTGAAGACGGCTTGTGTGCCGAGGAACACGCCCTTGAGGTTGACTGCCATTGTCAGGTCCCAATCTTCTTCTCGGATCTTCGGAATCGGGTTGTGGATTGCGACCCCTGCGTTGTTGACAAGGATGTCCACCTTACCGAAGGTGTCAAGCGTTCGGGCAACCATGGCATCGACATCCGTTTTCAGTTGGATATCGGTTTTGATGGGGAGTGCGTGTCTGCCGAGCTGCCTCACCTCTTCGGCAACAGCGGTTATTTCAGGTGTCAGTCCGTGCGGCAAGCACGATGTCTGCCACCTTCTTTGGCAAACGCTAAGGCGTCGAACGACCGATCCCGCGCCCGCCACCTGTGATAATTGCGATACGGTTTTCAAGTTTCATAATTTTTTAATTATTCGCAAGGCGTTAAATCAGATGGTTAGTTTATCAAAGGGTTCTACTCATATCCGCCTGCGCCGTTGTTGCAGGCTAATACCATCGTTTCGGTTAAAGATTGTAACATACACGCCTAATCACTCGCAACTCTCCCTCTGTATGTGCACAGCAAAACGTAGCCCGTAACGAAGTGGAGGGCGGATAGGAGAAAGCACGTTAAATAGGAAACTCACTCCATTACCCCGCAAGGTATAATTAAAATATTTGATAGGGCGCGAGTTTCTCTTTATTGAACAGAATGCCGTGTCCCGGACGTTCAGGCGGCGAAAAGTGTCCGTCGTTGAGTGTCAAGTATCGTCAAGGACCGTCAGCGAAGGATATACTCAACAAAAAGCGAATGCGGCACTGCTGCAGAGAGATGAGAACGTGGCAAATCCATCAGGAAGTGTGTGAGACAGAGAGCCCAAAGCATTCCGCCATATGTGCCACCTTCATCCATTCAGAGATACCGCCGACGCGGACAGCATCGGGTTGTAGGATATCCGCCGCGCCTTGTGCGATGTATTCCTGAAAGACCGTCATTTATTGTAGATGGTTTCGCCAACAGCGATCGGGATAGTCGTTTTCTGCGCGCAGTGTCACATGGCTGTCCACATCGTCGCCTCGATCGGTTCCTCAAACACAGAAGAGGTCTGCTTCTTCAACACGACAGGCGAGTTGAATGGCTTCGCGGGCGTTCCACTTCATGTTGGCATCGATCATGAGATAGGGATCCTGCCCGATCGCCTTTCTGACAGCGAAGACTCGTGCCACGTCTTCATAGAGACTGTCTCGTCCCACCTTAATCTTGATACCTTTGAAACCTTGCTCTACAAATTCCACGGATTGCCTAACGAGTTCCTCCTCGGAAAGGTGTAGCCAGCCACCATCTGTATTGTACACAAGGGGACAGCGGGTTTTGCCCCCACCGAGGAGTTGGTAAGAGTGGCAATCCTGCGCGCTTTGCCATGAGATCCCAGAGGGCGATGTCGACCGCTGCCATACCCAAACCAACGATGCCACCTCTGCCTACCCAGTGTGTCTCCATCCACATCCGATTCCAAATTCGGTCGATGTTGGAAGCATCCTCTTCGAGCAGGATAGGTGTGAGGTAGGCATCCATAGTCTGCTTATCGCCTCTTCCACCCTTACCGATAGTGTAAGAGAAACCGGTCCCCACAACGCCATCTACATCTTCAATCTCAATGAAGGGAAATTCCATAGAGACGAAAGTTTGAATGGCATCGACGCGTTCAACTTGCGGTGGGATGTCGTACAGAGATGTCCGAACTGCTTTAATTTTCATCGGATTTTGCCTATTGCTTTAAGTTCTCAATCATCGTCAATAAATTTTCGATACAGATACGTGAGGCTTCCTCACCAGCCTCAGAAAAGGCTTGGCCTGCGGGACGGTTGAGGATAGCCTCGTCAATTTTCAGTGAGGATCGCCAATGCGTTTCAAGGCAGAGGTGCCCTTCGTAACCGTCGTCAACGAGGGCTTGCAACTGCCCTTGCCAGTCAATGATGCCGGCACCGACCGGAACGGATTCTATCTCGCCGGTATCAGGGTTCGGACCTGCGTCCTTGAGATGTGCGTGGATCATCGTCGGTTTCATGCGATTGTATGCATCGGGATACGGGGTCTCGCCACCCTTTGCGTGTGCCTCATTGGCAGGATCCCAGATACCGCGGATATCGGAGCGTCAATCTGCTCGATAAATTCGCTGTAAGTTTGGCGGTACGGAGCGAGTGGTGGATTCGTTTTCCATGCCGAGGACGATGCCCTTCACCGTCTATCATTCTGCGCGGTTCATCGTAGGAGGCGATAATCTCATCCCATCGTTCCTCGGTTCACCGGTGTCCCAGAAGACAAAAGTACGGATGAGATTTGTATCAAACGCCTTTGCTGTCCGGATGCACCCTTTGAGTATATCGAGATGCTCTTTCCGTTTCTGCCGCGTTGCCGATATCGCATTTAAAGAACGGAGATGCGATACCAATAATCTTGATGTCGGTGCCATCAAGCAAGCGTTTTATCTCGTCGATGTCGGTATCGGTGAGTTCATGCGAGTTTGTCCCAGACAGAGCGAATTTCGATGGAGTGTAGGTTTGAATTCTTTACAAAATTGACAACGGTGGCGAGTCTTGCGAAACTTCGTCGCCGATAACGCCGAGTTTAAACATAGTTGTGTCTCCTTTGAAACTTTTCCGATATGTTAGCACAGCGTGGTGTTAATAGCAAGCAGGATTTTAGGCGGCAGTCAGCGATCAGCAATCAGCAATCAGCGATCAGTAATTGGCAGATAGAGATGGAAATTGGAAAGAGCCACGTTCGCCGGTAGGGATAGGGCGAGGTTGAAAAACTCTCCAGCGAAGGAAGAGTAGAAGGCATTTTCCGTTATAAGGCGAGGTTCGGAAACCCTGCCAGCAAGGAGATGGAGCGCGACAGGGCCTGAAAATCAAAACTGATAACCATAACAAATTGGCTTGCAATGAGGGCAAAAAATGTGCTACAATAAGATTAATCGTAGCGTTGCATAGAGAGGAGGAAATAATGAATTACGCAGAATTGTCGCTCCCACAACGTCAGAGAGAAGAAATTCATCGGATTTTATCCGACGCTTCCGATAGAGCCGGTAGTGTAGATCGCGAATCTATATTGCGAAGCCTCCCAGAACTCACCAGTGATGACGCAGACATCCAAGCATGCTTTGCGGACATCGCCATCCCCTTGTTGAAAGCCTCTATAGACTCACCCAACCCTGAAGCCGCTTTAAATCGTTTTTCACGTTTTGCAGAAGCATCGTTTAACCGCAAATCGCTCTATCAATTGTTGCGAGATGCGCCGCATCTCATACGCCCCGTCATTTTAAGTTTCGGTGCGTCCACCTATTTGTCCGAGATCCTAATTCGCACACCTGAATATTTCTATGACATCATTGATCCGAATGTGATTGGGACGCAGAAGACTTCCGAGATGATGTATCAGGAACTTAAGCAATCAATTTCGCGGTTCGCTTCGGTAGAGCAGAAACTCCGTATCCTGCGTCGATACAAACGACGGGAAACGCTCCGTATCGGACTGCGCGACCTGCTTAAGGCGGCAGATGTTGAAACAACGACGTTAGAGTTGAGTAATTTGGCAGAAGCGGCACTGCAACACTGCTACGAAATCGGGCGTGACCAGATTATGAAACCGAAGTTCGGGACACCGCTCAATGAAGAAGGCACTGCACCGTGTCGTTTCGCTATCATCGGGATGGGCAAGTTAGGCGGCTATGAACTCAACTTTAGCTCCGACATTGACCTTATTTTTGTGTACTCCGACGACGCGCACACCGATATGGGGAATGACAATAGCGAGTACTTCTCACGTTTTTGTGAATTTATCATCAAGGCGATGAGTGAGATAACCCCAGAGGGCTACGTTTTTCGGGTTGACATCCGCTTACGTCCGGAAAGTAGCGCAGGTGTTATTATTCGCTCTATGGAGAGTTACGAAAGTTACTATGAAGGATGGGGTGACTTGTGGGAACGTCAAGCTTTAATTAAAGCGCGTCCTGTCGCTGGGGATATGGCTTTTGGGGACGAGTTCATCCGCATGATTCAGCCGTTTGTCTATCAGCGTTACTTAGATGGCGTGACTCTCACTGAGATTAAGGCAGACATCCGACGTACCAAAGCGCGAATAGAGGAGCGGCTCGTCAGTGAAGGTGCGAATCTTGAGAAACATGTAAAACTCGGTCCGGGTGCTATTCGTGATATTGAATTCACCGTACAGTGTCTTCAGATGATTCATGGTGCCAAACGGAAGTCATTGTGTTCGCACAATACCTTGGAAGTACTTGCGGCGTTAAAAGCGAGTACACTGCTCAGCGTGGAGGATGCGGACGCGCTCATGGCGGCTTATAGGTTTTTACGCACCGTTGAGAACTGCATCCAAATTGAGTCGGATCAGCAGCGTTACCTAATCCCAGAGAAAGAAACTGAGGAACGGGAACTCGCCCGGCGCATGGGGTACCAGCACACGGCAGAAACCGATGCCCTGGAAGGCGTTTCGAGAAGATTATCGCGTCCACACTGAACAGGTGCGCGCAATCTTTAAGAAGATCACAGCGACTTCGATTCAGTCCGAAGATGGGCTTGACATCGCCGTTCTACTCTCCGAAGAGGATCCACAACAGCTGGAGGCTTTCTTGAGCAGGTTCCGTTTTGAAAATGTAAGAAACGCGCAGCGTCTCTTAAGGCAACTCGCGAACGGTGGGGATGGTATCCAATTCTCACCCAGTGTGCGGCGTACCTTCTTTAAACTCGCACCGACACTCCTAAACGTCTTACGTGACTCTCCCAACCCGGACATGGCACTCCGTTACCTCTCAGCGTTTACAGATAAGGTTGGTGCGCGGAGCAGTTACTACACGATGTTCGCTGAAAAACCCTCAACACTCGAAGTGCTTACCCGTGTCTGTGGCACGAGTTTATATCTCGCAGATATGCTCATCGCGAGTCCTGAACTCTTTGATTTGCTGACGGTCCCTACGTTAATAGAACGCCCCAAAACGCTCGCTGAAAAACAGACGGAAGCGTTGCAGGTGGTCGCGCAGGCACCAGAGGGGAGAATGCTGTCTATGTTGCGGCGGTATAAGAATGACGAGATTTGGCGTATCGCCTTGCGGAACATTCTTGGGAAGGCAACATTGCCGGATACAACGCAAGAACTCTCTGATTTAGCCGAAGCTACTTTGCAAGCGATCTATCCAGAAATTGAAGCAGAACTCCGAGAAGCACACGCACACCACTCGCTCCCGATGGAACACCGGTAACGTTCGCGATTATTGCAATGGGCAAGTTTGGCGGACGTGAATTGAACTTCAGTTCGGATTTAGATGTTATGTACGTCTATTCAGCAGATGGTGAGACGACAAAAGGCATGTCGAATGTGGAGTATTTTTCAGCTGTCGGTTTGGAGTTAGTAAATCGACTTGCTGGAAATCAAGGGATGGGTATCTATGAGGTCGATCTGCGGCTCCGTCCATACGGGACAGGTGGTGCGATTGCACTGCCGTTGGCAGGGTATCAGAATTACTACGATAACACTGGAGAGGTTTGGGAACGTCAGGCGTTAACACGTGCACGCGTTGTCGCCGGAGACATAGAACACCTCGGAAACCAGTTTTTGGAGATCGCCCATGCCTTCTGTTATGGGGATGCCCTAACGTCCGAGGAGATCGCCGAGATTGTGCATACACGCCAACGGAAGGAAGCGCAAGTCACCCGCAAGACATCTACTCGGCGCAGAAGGGATGGCAAGACGCAGACGCCTACAGCCAATGTCAAGTCGGGATACGGCGGACTTGTTGATATTGAATTTGTCGTCCAAACCCTTCAATTAGTGCATGGGGGTAGTGAAACCTCCGTGCGTGTGCAAAACACACCCCTCGCGATCGAGAGATTGCACAAAATTGGGGTGCTGACAGAGGCACAGCGTGATGGATTAGGGGAAGCGTATCAATTCCTCAGACGCGTCGAAAATGCCTTACGGATTGTCCACGATCGAGCATTGGATGCGCTTCCGAAAAATCGTGCAGAATTGGGACAGTTGGCACGCCGTCTCGGATACACGGGAGGTAACGATACACCCGCTGCAGAAGCGTTTTTACAGGATTACGGAAAGTGGACGGAAACGACCCGTTCGCTTTTCAATCAGATTCTTGTGAAGTGAACGACATAGTGATACACGTTTATTAGCCGAGAAAAAGGTAAGGTTTTAACTGGCGGTCTTCAAGTTGTGCCAGTAAACCGCGTTGGCACTAAAATACAACCCTAAGGAGGCACTCATGGTATCTGAATCGCCATTTTTTAACTCCCGCTCCCTGAAGAATGTAATCTTTTGCATAGGGGACGGCATGGGATTTGAAGCAGTCAAAGCCGCGGGGTATTATGCTTATGGTGAAACAGGCACACTATCTTTTGAAGCGTTCCCACACCGGGCAGAAATGGCAACTTATGCAGCAAACTCACCTATGACAGACTCTGCCGCCGCCGCAACCGCTATGGCAAGGGACATAAAGTCAACAACGGTGTCATCAGTATGGAATTCCCTGGCAGCGGTACCCCACTGAAGACGCTCTTAGAAATTTTCAAGGCACAAGACAAATGGACAGGACTTGTGTCAACTACCTACATTACCCACGCGACTCCCGCAGCATTTGCTGCACATAACCCCGAACGCAACAACCTCGCTGATATTGCGCATGATTACCTCCATCTCACTCGTCCAAACGTCCTATTAGGTGGTGGTGGGAATGGACTCACTGAGAAAGATGCTGAAGCCGCAGGATATACCGTCGTGACCGATCGAGAGGGATTGTTGAACCTTGATACCGACACTGAAAATTGTGTCTCCGGGCAGTTCGGCGATACGAATATCCCGTATATATTTGATGGTTCCGACGATTTACCACAATTATCAGAGATGGTGAGTGTAGCCTTGGATATTCTTTGTGGTGCCCAAGATGGATTTTTCCTGCTTGTTGAGGGGGGACGTATCGATCATGCCGGACACTCGAATGACATTGAACGCAACATTTTGGAGACAATTGAGTTTTCCAAGACGGTACAAACCATTTTTGACGGCGTTGCTGGGCGAGATGATACCCTCATCCTTGTCACTGCTGACCACGAGACAGGAGGCTTGAAAGCACATAAAAACAATGGGAAGGGACAAGTCCCTGATATTTCTTGGAGCACAGGTGGGCACACCGTCAGCAATGTACCGCTTTATGGGTGGGGTAGAAATGCTGAACGGGTGGGAGGTATCATGAACAATACAGACCTTATTAAGGTGGTGGGTTTATCTTCTTAACCAGATTTATGGGCGAGATTGCCGCGCCTTCTTACCAAAACAAAAACACCCCGTAAATTTTCCTTGAGAAACCGCGATGAACCTGCTAAAATAACGTGAGTTCGATAAAAGGAACTTCTACTTGTATCGCAAAGTGTTAGTTTGCGCGGAATACGCCACAAACTAAAAGTTTGTGCTACAATTTATGTCTTTGAGACGCGAAAACGGAACCTTTAGACGGACGAAATGTTTAAGTCGAACTAACGTTAAAATAGATGCCAATTCATTTTGGAGTAGGGAGAAAATTTATGGTTTACGGACAAGGCACACATCAATATACTGTGCAAGAGAATTGGTGGACACTTCCAGAGGGTTGGGAATTTGGTTGGGTCCCCGCTGTTGGTGTTGATTCACAGGACCGCGTTTATGTTTACAGTCGCAGCGAACATCCGATGGTCGTCTTTTCGATCAGGACGGCAACTTTATCGACTCTTGGGGCGATGATATTCTCAAGGATGCTCATGGGATTTTCATCGATGCCGACGATAATATCTATTGTACGGAACGTGACACGCACGTTATACGGAAGTTCACTACGGACGGTGAACTCCTGATGACGCTCGGCACGCCAGATGTACCCGGTGCAGAAGGTGAACCCTTCAATATGCCGACGGATTTGGCACTCGGACCCGATGGCGAAATTTATATCTGCGATGGCTATGGCAACGCCCGCGTTCACAAATACTCACCTGACGGTGAATTCATTAAATCGTGGGGACAGCCCGGCGCAGGTCCGAGTGAGTTTAACCTCCCACATTGTGTCAGAGTTGACCCGCGCAATAGACTCATGGTTGCCGACAGGGAAAACAATCGCATCCAGTTCTTTACCCTTGATGGTGAATACATTGAAGAATGGGTGACCTGTTGCATCCAGACACGATCTATATTGATGAAGACGAACTCGTCTATATCGCTGAATTGGACCAGCGTGTCACAATCATGACGTTGGATGGCGAGGTTATCTCTCAATGGGGTAGTGAACGCGGGAGTTCCGTCCCCGGTGAATTTATGGCATGTCCACACGGTATCTGGTTGGATTCGCGCGGCGATATATATGTCGGTGAAGTTCAATCAGACGCACGGCTCCAAAAATTCATTCGGCAACGGTAGCAAGAGTAGTTTTCAGTACGCCTGCTACGCAGGCTTTTAGTCTTAACCATCAACTCGTGCCTTAACATTTATAACGGAGGCGAGTTGATGGTTAAAGCTATCGGTTAAGAGGTTTTCGTTTAACAAAACTCTCTTGTAACCGATAACCCTTAACTGATAACTGATAACCCATAAAAAACCCTCCTGTAACCGACAACCAATAACCAATACGGGATTTTCATCGATGCCGACGATAATATCTTTGGAAAAAAAATTAGTAACCAACCCTAAGCCTGAAACGAAGTGGAAGGCGACTCTAAAGAGAAGCCTGTTACATGCGAGGTCCACGGCGTTCCCCCGCAAGGTAAGTTTAAAAAATGGCTGAAAGTTTCTCGTTTTTCCAGAAAGTAAATACGGATTTTGACAAGGCTGCCCGATTTACTGACTATCCGCATGGGCTTTTGGAGCAGATAAAGATATGTAATAGCTCCTGCCATTTCACATTCCCTATAAAACGGGACGATGGGACTATTCAAACCATTCATGGATGGCGCGCGGAGCATAGCCACCATAATCTCCAACGAAAGGTGGCATCCGTTACAGCACCCTCGTTAACGAAGATGAGATAATGGCACTTGCGGCGTTGATGACGTATAAGTGTGCGCTTGTGGATGTACCATTCGGTGGTGCCAAGGGCGGCATTCAACTGGATAGACGCGAATATTCAGAAAGTGAATTGGAGCGCATCACCCGCCGTTATACTTATGAATTAATCCAGAAGAATTACATCGGACCCGGAATAGATGTGCCAGCACCGGATTTCGGAACTGGTGAGACCGAAATGACGTGGATCCTGGATACTTATCTCACAATGGCACCTGACAAGCTGAATGCTACTGCGTGCGTAACAGGCAAGCCGATCGAACAAAACGGGATTCATGGGCGGAGAGGGGCTACCGGACGTGGTGCTGTCTTCGGTTTACAAGAAGTATGCAGTTTCGCAGAGGACATGAAACCACTTGGGCTATCCCCCGGTTTACACGGAAAAAACGTCATTGTCCAAGGTTTCGGTAATGTCGGGTACCATGCCGCCAAGTTCCTGATGGAGGCGGATGCACGCATCATTGGGATTATTGAGCGAGATGGTGGCATCTATGATCCACAGGGATTTGACATCGAAAAAGTTGCCATGTATCGTGAAGAAACTGGATCCATCCAAGGGTATCCGACTGCTAAAATTATTGAGAATCCGAACGATGGTTTGGAGTTGGAGTGCGATATCCTCGTGCCAGCCGCGCTTGAGAATCAACTTACAGCAGAAAACGCGCCCCGAATCAAAGCCGCGATTGTTGCTGAAGCCGCGAATGGACCTACAACTCCGGGTGCCGATGCAATCCTCCAAGAACGAGGGATTATGATTATACCGGACACTTTCCTCAACGCTGGTGGCGTCACCGTTTCGTATTTCGAGTGGCTTCGGAATCTGTCGCACGTACAATTTGGGAGGCTCGGGAAACGTTTCGAGGATCAAACCCAACACGCCATGCGCCGTACTATTGAGAAAGCGACTGGCTATACATTTTCAGACGATGAACGTGGGTTAATACATGGTGCCGATGAGGAAGATTTGGTGAACTCTGGTCTTCAGGATACGATGATAAATGCCTATCAGGAGATGCGTGAAACCCGCACACAGCATAGAGATAAAAACAATGCCATAGATTACCGAACGGCTGCGTTTATCAATGCCATCCATAGAATTGCGAAATCCTATATGCAGCTGGGTATTTTCCCTTAATCTGTATGTATATTGATTACGAAAATATCCGGTAGCAGCGATCTTTCAATCGCGACTTCCTATCAACTATGGTAAATCCTATAATTATTTGGGCACCGCGGTAGATACGGTTTCAAACCGCACCTACCAGGAAGGGTCTACTTATTTTTATAATTCACTATAAAAAACAACAAAAAAGGAAGAAAAAATGATTTGTCTAAGTGTGAATGTAAACAAAATCGCAACATTGCGGAACTCACGAGGTGGTGATATTCCAGATGTACTCACCGCTGTCGATACCTGCATTGCTGCAGGGGCACAAGGTATTACTGTGCATCCGCGCGAAGATGAACGCCATATCACATCCGCAGATGTGCAGGACATCGCTGAACGATTAATAGAAATCAATACCCAAAAAAGATCCGACATTGAATATAACATTGAAGGCGATCCGAGACCCGATCTCATTGATATGGTGCTACGCACAAAACCGACGCAATGCACGCTCGTCCCCGTTGTCGTAGGTGAAATAACAAGCCACACTGTCTGGGACATCCGCAAGGATGGCGATACGTTGAAACCGATCATCGAAGCGTTGAAAAATGCGGGTATCCGTGTGAGTCTATTTAGTGGAATTGATGTGGAACAGATAGCAAGAACGCGAGACATCGGTGCAGATAGAATTGAACTTTATACTGCCTCTTATGCGATGGCAGGGACAAAGACGGAGATCGAACGCGAGTTCGCGTTGCTGGAAAATGCGGCGGCAAAAGCAGTGGATTTAGGGCTTGGTGTCAACGCCGGGCACGATCTCAATCTTGAAAACCTACCATTGATGCAGAAATTACCGGGACTCCTTGAAGTTTCTATTGGGCATCATCTGATGGCAGACGCGCTCTATATCGGATTGGAAGCCGCTGTTAAAGCCTATCGACGTGCGCTGGGGCAACAGACGACATGACAAAATCCAAAACATGTGCCATTTTCGATTTAGATGGTACGATCATCCGTCTCTCTTCAGAGCAGGTCTTTCTGACGTATCTGTTGAACCACGGCGAGATCCCTATATCGAATTTGCTTGCGTGGACATCCAATTTTCTGAGGGTTAAGTCCCTGTCAGTGGCGAAACCTAACAAAATCTACCTCCGCGGTTTAGAACAGGATCACATCTATGAGATTACACGCCGCTGTTTTGTTGACACATTGCGTGCGAGTATCGCGCCTCACATTTCTGAATTGATCTATGCCCACCACGCCGAAGGACGAACAGTTATTCTCATGTCAGGTTCGTTGTCGTTCCTCGTTCAGCCGTTTCATGAGTATTTTCAAACCGATATGATGGTCGCTCACGAGTTGGAAGTGGTTGACGGAAGGTTTACAGGACAACGCATCGGATTGCATCCTTTTGCAGAAAACAAAGCGAAACTTGCCCAGCAACTCGCAACTGAACATGGGTTTGACCTGAGTGCTTCCTACGCGTATGGAAATCACCACACGGATGCATACAAACTGGAATTGTTTGGGCATCCGGTTGCCGTCAACCCAGACCGACAGCTTAGGCGCATCGCAATGGAAAAGGGTTGGCATATAGAAGAATAATGCGACTTGAAAAGTATATTGCTACATCAGGAATTGCCTCACGGCGGTCAGTGAAGAAAGCGCATTCAAGCCGGTGTGTCACTGTCAATGGCGAACCCGTTTTGGTCCCGGGACACCCGATTAACGTAGAGACTGATTCTGTTGAATTTGAGGGGAAACAGGTCGAGCCGTTAGCAGAACACATCTATCTGATGCTGAATAAACCCGCAGGCTGCCTGACGACGCGCAGCGATGAACGCGGACGACCTACCGTCATGGAGCTTGTCGCAGATCTGCGCGATACCATCTATCCTGTCGGACGCTTGGACTTGGAGACCGAGGGGCTTCTCCTCTTCACAAACGATGGAGACTTTGCTTATCGGTTGTTACATCCGAGCCATGAAGTAGAGAAAACCTATCTCGTGTGGGTGAAGGGTGTGCCGCGCGACGACGCGATTCAACGGTTGCGTCAAGGTGTTACGATTTCAAGTGGGGCAACGGCACCGGCGAAGATCAAGCGTGTAAAAGTAAGTAAGGACAGCGCGTCAGCTAAATTTGAGGTAGTGATTCACGAGGGAAAGAAACGGCAGGTACGTTTAATGTTTAAAGCCGTGGGGCATCCGGTAATCCGTTTGAAACGAGTCCGAATCGGTAATTTGCGGTTAGGCAACCTTCCGTCTGGACAGTATCGATTTCTAAGCCCAGAGGAGATCTCCGAGTTGATGTTGTTGTAGGTGCGGTTTGAATGCAGGTCGCATGAATCAACGCCGAGTGCGCGTATTGCCTCGCAGTGAGAGTCGTCGGGGCGAGTACGCCGCAAAACCGCACCTACTGGAGGTTGTTAGTTGGAACTCGCCAAATCTTTGACCCGTTCCAGCATTGCTTCGGCGTTTTGTCTTATGTTTCCGTCCTTAGCATGGTGGGTTAACTTCTCAAGCACGGCGATCGCATCTTCAAAATTCCCTTTGATGGCGTATGTTACGCCGAGATAGTATTGAGCGGGTTCATAGACTTTGCTTTTCGAGTAGGTGTCTATGACAGTTTTGAAGTGAGAGATAGCCTTTTCAAAGTACGTCTCCGCTTCTTCGCTGTTTTCAAGCATAGACCCTTCAACCAGTGCGCCGTAAGCGAGTCCCAATTGGTTGTGCAGGTTTGGGATGAGCTTCGTGCGGTTTTTTGGATCATGCTCAAACGCTTTCTCACTGAACAAGACTGCCTTTTCAAGCTGCTCCCGTTCGAGGTAGGTAAGCGCGACTTGAGCGTTGAGTTTGGCATCGTCCGATTTCGCCTTCAATTTTTCCAATTTCTCTTGGAATTCCGTCTCTTTTTTCAAGGCATCTTTCATAATCGGTGAAAACTGTTCCGGTGTGAGAAATCCTGAAGCCTTTTGGATGAGACCTCCATCTGAGCTGACGAACAGGACTGCTGGGATAAGCAGTAACACCGTATCGGCTTCGAGTCTCTTCATTGATAGGACGTTCCTTGTCTTCTGGATTCACTTTAACGGGAACAAACTTTTCAGAGAGCTCGATAATGCGTGCATCCGTAAACGTTTCGGCATCCAGCCGCTTACAGAACCCTCACCAATCGGTGTAGAAGTCCATCATCATCGGTTTGCCGGTCTTCGCGGCTTGTGTCATGCTGTCCTCAAGCGTTTTTTCCCATTTAACTTCCTCGCTCGCAATGAGCGCGGGTATTGTGCCCACCATCAGCAGCAGGACACCGAGGGATATGCGGCGAAAAACAGAATTAAACATTACTTTTCTCCTTTTTTGTTTATAGTAAAGTCCACAATTCCTTGGACATCACGGATGGGCGAGGTTACAAACCTCGCCAGCGGTGGAGTGAGGTTGGTGCCTCCTGAGATGTCTACATATTTTCCGGCTTTACTATAATAACGCTTTAATTAACTTACGATTTCATTAATTTCAGTAGAGCGTGTCTCATAAACAAGATGTCTGCGCCATACAAACTTCAAAATCGGGCTTACAAGGTTTCCCTCCGACGATTTATGAGATAGACTGTAGGACTATTCGTGCGTTTGCCCTACTATTGGGTTGCAGTCTCTTCTTCGCTTTGCTCAAGTGCAGCGACGCTGGTTGTTTTGCTCGACAGCGTTATACGACACTTGAAACAGGTAATAATAATTCTGACGAGCTCTTTCTGTCTGCCAACGTAGGACTGTTTCTGCTCTGTTTGTACGTGCCTTTGGCAACGAGGGCACCACTGTTGTTTTGCTCCTAACATGATTTGCTCCTTTATGATGTCGTGTCCAGAATCAATGCCCTCTGCTCGCCTGCAGGAAATAGACACACCTAATCACGGTAAAAGTTCTCAGTTTGTTCACTTTCCGACGCAGAACTGAGAGAAGATTCTATCCAAAATATCTTCAGTTGTTGTTCTACCGACGATGTCTCCGAGACCGTCCAAACTGATCCGGAGATCGACGGCGACGAGGTCAGGGGGCATACCATTTTCGAGACTCTCTATCGCATAATTGAGTCCTTCGTTCGCGCACCGGAGAGCTTCTTGGTGGCGAGCGTTTGTCACAATCGGCGATTCACCGACGACCAGTTCACCTCCAAGTAATTCCTCACAAATCGTAACCTTTAGGGCATCGAGTCCTTTGTCCTCAGGAATCGCTGTCTCGACAACCTGTTTTTTAGGACAGTGCACAAGCAATGTCGTTGATGGTGTCAGAACCGGTAGATCCACCTTGTTGAGAATAAGAATTGCCTTGGCTGATTGTGCTGTCTGTAAGAGTTCCAAGTCCGCGTTGTTCAGCGGTTGCGAGGCATCAAACATCAACAGTAACAGTTCTGCCCTGTCAAGCACCGCTTTGCTCCGTTCAACACCTTGTTGTTCTACAATGTCATCTGTCTGTCGAATACCGGCGGTATCAATGAGTTTCAACGGGATGCCGTTGACGTTAATCGTTTCCTCAATTGTATCGCGTGTTGTGCCGGGTATTTCTGTAACGATTGCGCGTGTTGCTCCAACGAGGGCATTGAGCAGACTTGATTTTCCGACGTTCGGCTTTCCCAGTATAGCGACATTGACACCTTCTGTGATAATCCTACCTTCTGTGGCAGTGTCGAGCAGTGCTGTTAAGTCGGTCTGAACAGCACGCGCCGTTCCGAGTTGTGTCTCCACCTTCATGAAATCCAGGTCTTCCTCGGGAAAGTCGATGGATGCCTCAATTTCTGCGAGCAAATCAGCGAGCCGGTCGCTGAGGGAATTTACAGTATCAGAGAGTTTTCCGGCGAGTGCCTCTATAGCGATTTTTCGGCTGAGATCTGTTTTTGAGGCGATGAGTTCGGCGACTGCTTCCGCTTGTGCTAAATCCAGCCTTCCGTTGAGGAAAGCACGTTTTGTAAATTCTCCGGGTTCGGCGACCCGAGCCCCGCTCTTCACCACCAAGTCTAACACTGCTGTGAGTGTCACGATACCACCGTGGCAGTTAAATTCGACGATGTCTTCACCGGTATATGTCTTGGGTGCGTGCATGATGCCGAGTAACACTTCGTCGATGACATCATCGGATGCGTTTGTATCTATGACGTGTCCGTATGTAAGTGTATGCGTTGACAGTTCTGTGAGGGACACGCCGCGCGGTGATCGGAACAATTCAGCGGCGATCGGTAGGGCAAGGTCACCACTCACTCGGACGATGCCGATGCCGGCTTCACCGCGTGCTGTTGCGATGGCTGCAATCGTATCGTGGAATTTCATAGAATAGCCATCAGCCATCGGTTTCCATCAGTTGTCAGTTAAAAGACGGTTGTGATAATCCTAACGTCTCTTGTTACTGACTGTCGACGGTTTCCGATAGCCATTTTAAGGTTGTTGCGTTGTCACGACGATGCGTCGCATTTCACCCTCACCTTGGCTGTAGGTAGACACAACCTCGTCCTCTTTTAAGGTGACGTGAATGATACGCCTGTCGCGTGCGGACATCGGTGCAAGGACGACGTCCCTATCGGTATATCTGACCTTTTCAGCGACTTGGTGTGCCATTTCCATGAGTCGTTCTTCTCGGCGTTCTCGATAGCCCTCTGTGTTGACGAAAACGCGCCTTTTTACAAGCGAGGCTTTATTGACGATACAATTAAGCAAACGTTCGATTGCATCGAGGGTCTGCCCGTGTTTCCCAATAAGGAGTGCGGGACTGTTGGTGACGATATTGAGGTGTGTGCTTCCGTCGATATAGCTCGATTCGACCTCTGCGTCAATTCCCATCCGGCTGAGCACCTCCTTTAGGATTGTCTCCGGTGCGGAAGAGACATCTTGTTTGAGCGTTGCGCGAATCTTCGCCGGTTTAGCACCGAAGTTCAAAATCCCTTTCGTAGGTTCGTTGACAATGTCAATTGTGACTTGCTCTCGAGTTGCCTCGAGTTCGGTTAGTGCGTGTTCAATTGCTTCCTCCACTGTATCGCCTTCCGTTTCGATGTAGTGCTGCACAGGTTAATATCCTCCTCGCATAATTGCTTCCAGCGGTGAAGTCGTTGATACGGCGGACGGCCGAGGTCCGGAGCCTTTGCCCTACAGTGCTGGTTCTACTTTCGTTTGGCGTTGTTCCTTTTTTTCGTGTCTGCTGGTGTGGATTGATCTTCCTCAGTCTGGCTTCGGTTTTGTAAGTACTGTTGTGTTATCGTGAAAACATTGTTGCACAGCCAATACAACACAAACCCGGATGCCCAGTTATAAAGGATGAAGATAAAAATGAGCGGCATAAACTGCATCAATTTCGCTTGCATGTTGTCCGTTGTTGGTGCCATATTGCCGACGAATTTCTGTTGGAGCCAGGTTGTCAAACCGTTTATTATAGGCAATAGGCGGACGGTATCTATTTGCGTGATAATCAATGGAATCGTGAAAGGCAGTTTGACTAAAGTGTCAGGTGCCGAAAGGTCATCGATCCATAAAAGGAAAGGTGCCCCACGAAGTTCTACTGCGCCTCCAAGAAGTGCGAAGAGTGCCCAAAAAATCGGAATTTGTGGAAGCCATGGTATACAGCCCCCTAAGGGGTTGACGCCGTGTTCCTTGTAGAGTCGCATCGTAGCGCGATTGAGTTTCTGCGGGTCATCCCTGTATTTCTCCTTCAATTCCACTAATTGCGGCTGAAGTCTCTGCATCTCCTTCATAGATTTATGTGCTTTGTGTGTGAAGGGATAAGAGACGATCTTCACCAAAGCCGTCAGGAGTATAATCGCTACGCCGTAGTTTCCAAAGACACTATGGAAGCCTTTGAATACCCAGAGCATCCCCCATGCGAGGGGCCAGAAGAATCCGAAGTTGATAATTTTCGAGAGACGCACTGGGTTCTCAGGTGCATTCGGTGCCTCTATACTTTTTAGAATTGTATCGTCCTTCGGTCCAACGTAGAGCCGAAAAACATGCGTCTCCTTCCGCTGTGCTGTGAGATAAAAGCTTGGTAAGACGAGTGCCGCCGTTTCTGTTGGTGCGGTGACAGTGATACCGGTTGTAACATTTGCCTGTGGCGTCTCTATAAATTTATAGGTAGCGGCAAGTTGAGGGTCTGGAATCATCAATGCGCTGAAGTACTGGCTATCCAATCCCGCCCAGAGAACTGTGGCTGAAGCGTGTTCAGATTTGAGTTCACGCCTCGGTTTACCCTCACCGATATAAGCCTTTGCCCCTTCACTGCCGCGTCGCCCACGTTTGCCGCTCTTCTTTTCATGTGGCAGCAGATCAGCATTGATACCTCGTCCCCACTGAAGTTGGTATCCGTTTGCGGGTTCGGTTCCGCCCATAAGCAGCGGTTCGTCAGAGACATTTTGGAAAGTTACCGTCATGTCAACGAAGTAGTTGCCCGGATTGAAGGTGAACTGCTTTGTGACTCGTAATTTTTCTCCGATTGTTGTCCCGAAGATGAGTGTGACAGCTTCTTGTCTGTTTGTGATGTTGATTTCGGATTTGTCAGCCTTCCATCTGGCACGGAGTGAATCGAGTTGGAGCTGCGAATTGCCAAACCGAAGTGCGAGGCAGTTGAGTGCGTTTTCAGGAATCAGGTTCAAGGGGTTTTTGTCTGCATCTGTCCGGTCTGGAAAGTGATTTAACTGCCACTTTTTGGCGATTGCGAGTTTTTCGTTAAAAACAATAGTATAGTTATCGGTTCGGACGCTGACTTTTCCATCGCCTGGACTTTCCCCAACGGGTGTCCAGAGATCAGGGTTGACAGATGCGTCGGCACCATCAAATGTTCCGTGCGTCGTGGCATCCGATTGTGTTTCGCTTGGACTTGATGCTGCCGGTGTCCCGGTAGTTGCGGGTTCATCGGGTTGAGGGGCAAAGCGTTTGCCGAAAAATAGGCTCCATCCGATCATTACAGCAATCATTAGAACCAAAGCAAGAATGTAACGTACTCCCATCGAGATTAGATGCTCCCCATTTTTTGTGTTTTTTAATTATACCTTGCGGAGAAACGACGGGGTCTGTACTTCAGCGGTTATTCTCTGGAGTCGTCCTCCATTACATTACGGACTACGGTTTCGTTGCCATTTGGCATACCTGCTATTTTAGAGGATCAAAACCCCCCGGATGGTAAGGATGGCATTTTGAAAGTCGTTTAATTGTTAGCCAGCACCCTTTGAGCGTGCCGTAGCGTTTTAACGCTTGGAGTGCATATTGCGAGCAGGTCGGATAGAATCGGCAGGACGGTGGCAAGAGCCGCGAAATAAAGCGTCGATAAAAGCGGATAGGTTGTAAAAGTATCACTGTCCCGTCCAACTTATTGCGTATCCACTGGCTCCTATTTTGGTTTATATCTTCTTCGTTGTGCTTACAATGTGGCACGCCTCTATTCCTTATTGACTGCTATCGTTTCTACCTTGTCTTAGACTGTCCCTGGCTGGATTGTTTAAAATAGATGCTTTCCGAAAGAGGTGAAACAATCCATCTTTTGCTGCTTGACACGTGAGCCGACACGCTTCTGTTCTTCCGACGACTACGATGTCGTATTCAGTTTTTACTCGTGGGCGTAACTGCCGAAACGATTCACGAATTAGCCTTTTGACGCGATTCCGTTGAACGCTTTTTCCGACTTTTTTGCTGACGGTTATTCCCAATCGGAGGTTATTGAAATGGGTGTGGAATACGTATATCACAAAATAGCGATTCCAATACTTACTGCCGCTCTGATAGGCGCGCTGGAATTCCCAACGCTTTTTCAGTTTTTCTGGATCTTGCATGATTTAGTTGATATACAGATATTTTCTCCACGACGGGTGGCAGCCACGAAAATGACGATTGAGTTGCAAATAGGTTAAAATTGATGGTGTTTTCGGCTGACGCTGCAATTTCAATCGCGCTTCGTAGAGCATTTTACTGCCCTTTTTGTTATTACACTTTTTGCAGGCTGTCACAACGTTCTCCCATGTTGTTTCTCCGCCGCGAGAGAGCGGTACCACATGGTCCATCGTGAGCTGCGCTGCTGGGAACTCGCTACAACAGTATTGACATACATACTGGTCGCGGACGAGAATATTCCTCCGTGAAAATTTGACGACGCTGCGCGGGACATGGACGTAGTTTACTAACCGAATTACATGTGGGGCTTTCATCGCGGCACTTGGTGAATGAATCTCAACATCAGAGACTTCTTCAGTCTGTGCAGTGCCCTTAAAAACCATTTTCATAGCGCGCCTGAGGTTGCAAACGTTGATCGCTTCGTAGCTGGCGTTAAGTACTAAGACAGATATTTCCACTTGCATGCCCTCTAACTTAGATAACTGGCTTTAACCACACTAACTCTTATGAATTTTAACACATTTCCAGTGTAATTGCAACTAAAATCTCTGTTATCAGCGGTCAGCCGTCAGAAGAATAGTAGTCAGCGGTCAGCCGTCGGCAGTCAGCAAAGAGCGAAAATAAAGATACACCTGACGCACAGTTTTGTGTATAATGTCAGTACAATGCGAGTTGGGACTGAGAGGGATTTGAATGCACAATAGGCTGCGAGACGCTATTGCGGTCTTGAGTTTTACGTTTATTTTGAGCAGTTATGCGTCTGATATTCGATTTGTAGATGTCACTGAGCAGGCGGGCATTCATTTTGAGCATGCCGGTGGTATCGACTTGCGTGTAGTGCCTGCGCTCGTCGGTTCGGGCGCGGCGTGGTGCGACTACGACAACGATGGGAAGTTAGATCTTTATATCGTCAACAGTGCCTTGGTGCGCCCAGCACCGGGAGCGGTGCTACCGAAAAACACGCTCTATCGGAATAACGGTGATGGCACTTTCACCGATGTAACCGATACCGCTGGTGTCGGCGATACCGGCTCGGGTATGGGATGTGCCTTCGCAGATTATGATAACGATGGTGATGCGGACCTTTATGTCACGAATTACAAGGCGAATCTGTTCTATCGGAACAACGGCGACGGGACTTTCAAACGCTTCTCGTCTGGGGCAGGCGGCATCGGTCACGAAGGTTTCGGTGGTGGAATCGCGTGGGGCGATTATGATAGCGATGGTTACCTTGACCTTTACGTCGGTAACTATATCGAATATACCAAAGTTCCGCAAGGGGCTGAAGTCTTTTTCCCGTATGATTTCTTCGGACAGACGAACGTCCTCTATTTAAATAAGGGAGATGGAGGTTTCATTAATATTACGGATGCCGCCAAGGTGAACGGTGGATTTCATCTGACACTTGGTGTCGCTGCAGCGGATTACGATGCCGATGGCGATTTGGATCTGTATCTCGCGAATGATACCGACCAGAATATCCTCTATCGCAACGACGGAGAGTTAACGTTCACGAACACGAACCGTCCAGATGCGAGGAGCCGCACCGGCGACACACGGAGTGGTATGGGCATTGCTTGGGGCGATTATGATGCCGATAACGATTTGGACCTCTTTGTTACGAACTGGTTAGATGAAAACAATGTCCTTTATAGAAACAGTGGTGATGGCACTTTCACCGATGTTTCTGCACAAAGCGGTGTTTTTGAGTCGGGGCTTGGTAAAACATGCTGGGGAACTGCGTTGTTTGATGCAGACAACGATGGGGATCTGGATCTTTTTTTTGCGGCGGGACACATTGATCCTGCTTCGTGGGAGGCACATGGGCAAGCAGACGTTTTTCTCCAGAACAACGGTGACGGCACCTTCACTGATATTTCTGACGCTGTTGGGCTTCGGCAATCCAGCTCGTACGCGGTTGGTAGAGGTGTCGCGGTTGGGGATTACGATGCCGATGGCGATTTGGATCTCTTTATCGTCAATAGTGGTGGGAAACCGATGTTGCTCCGAAACGACGGTGGGAACCAACAGCAGTGGCTTCAGATTCGCACGGTCGGCACAGTGAGCAATCGGGACGGTGTTGGCGCGCTTGTGAAGGTGAGTGCTGGCGATCTTCATCAGATTCAACAGGTGGCGGCAGGAGACAGTTATCTTTCACAGAGCAGCCTTGATGTCGAGTTTGGGCTTGCGCACCACAAGATAGTGGATCGAATTGTTATTCGGTGGCCGAGTGGCATTGTGCAAACGTTGACCGATGTGCGAGCGAATCAGCGGCTTGTTGTGGTTGAGAGTGCGGAGTGACGCGAAAAATCTTGCAATTGCAATGTGAATATGTTATTTTTAACATGTTTACGTTTTTTACAATTTTTTACAATAAGGAGAAAAATATGCGACGAAGTTTATTTTTGATCGTTTTGCTTGCCGTATATGTTGCGGTAACGGTCGTCCACGATGCAAGTGCTGCCGAAGAGATTCGGGTATGGGGCGGCAAAGTGGACGATTTCAAGGATTCCGACGGCCGCATCTGGCACGGTGGGCAGAATGAGAAGAAGGAGTGGGGCGGATGGATTGAAAAACTTCCGCGGATTGCTGAAGTCCAAAACCTCACGAAAGATGCCGAAAAACTGGCGAAGAAAGAAGGGTACGATAAGGAGCTTTTCTATGCCGTCAGCTGGGCATCGTTCCCTGATGTCGTCAAGGTAGATTTAAATACCGGTAAAGGCACTTTTAATGTTACCTATCTCGTGGGTGAGCATTGGTCACCGAACAATCGCGGTTTCGATATTATTATCGAAGACGAGATTGTTGAAGAAGAGTATGTGACACCCGGTAATAACGAGATAGATATTATACGATATGAAGGCATTGAAGTTAAAGACAAGGTCATGAGTCTTGAATTTGCTGGCAATCCGAAGACAGGTGCTGGAGATCTCAACGCGATGTTTAGTGGGATAGAGGTAATCCCCGCATTAGCCGTTGACCCGAAGGCGAAACTCACGACAACGTGGGGTGCGCTGAAAGACAATCGTCAGTAAAGAACACACCGAAATTAAAATGCCCGCGGTATTTTCGTTACCGTGGGCATTTTTTTGTACGCCGGTGTTATAACTTTTTCTATCCCGACCATTTTTGAGGAGATATCAAACCTTAGGGGTCGTCAAATCACCGCTCAGGATTGTGGGACACCAGAATTTTTCAATATATTCAATAATTAACTGTGTGCCTGCTTCATGGCTGACATAAGGTGGCTTGAACGGGTTGTACATCGCATCAGTGAGATCGCGTGCGAGGACGGCGTTGAAGCCCCAACGCACCATCTGTTTAATGGCGAAGGAACGTCCGAGGACACACATATTGGTGTGAACGCCCATAAAGATGATATTCCTAATACCTTTGTGATCCAGCAAGTTGTATACCTCCTGCCCGTTGTCACTGATGGCATCTGTATCAAGGATTTCAATGGCTGGGTGCTGACGGTGCCATGCTTTGTAGCTATCGGCTTCTCCGGTATCTGAGCCCCCATCGGAGGCATCAACGGGTAAAGGGTGGATCGGGGAGTTCGCGTTCGGGCGGCGGATCGGCGTGCGGTAGTTCTAAGATCCCGCGGCGTGCGGGATGTGCCTCGTAGAAGTCCATTGTGTCAGACGGGGCATGGATAATCTGTATACCGTGCTGTCGTGCCCGCTCAAGCACAATGTTCATCCGAGGTGCCATCACGTTTACACGTTCTGTTGCTCCCCATGACCAGTGTTCGTTCCACATATCAACGACAACGATAGCGGTTTCAGCGGTGTTCCAATTGACTTCTTCTTCGATGACACGCCAACCGTTTCTGCCGACCGTCCGTGCTTCCTGTCGGCGTGTTGAGAGCGATAGGTTCGTCGTCGCTGAAAAGGTTTGACTTAATAGGTTAAACAGCATGAGTTTCTACTCCTTTTCGGAAAACGTAAGCGTCTTTATAACGTCCGTAGTAGTTTTTTCGGATGCCGCAGATGCGGAACCCGAACTGCCGGTAGAGGTATTGTGCAGGTAGATTGCTGACGGCGACTTCCAAGAAAACTTCGCGTCCGTCATGTGCCTGTATCATTTCTAAGGCTGAAGTGAGCAAGTATTTGCCGATGCCTTGTCGCCGATAGGCAGTCGGCACCGCGAGGTTCAGGATGTGTGCTGCTTCATAGAGAATGCTGAACACAATGTAGCCGACGATGGTATGCTCGCGCCGTGCCACGTAAAAATATTCGTACGACCGGGGTCGCTTCAGAGATAACATGTAGTAGATTTCGCTCCATGGATCCTCAAAGCACTCGTTTTCTATTTTTATTACCTCCTGCAGATCGCATGAGTGCATCGGTTCAAAGGTGAGGTTTGGGAGCGGGTTTTGGGTTATCATCTGTGTCAATGGATGTAGGAAAACCGAGGAGAATTATAATTAGCACGGCTCAAAGATACCAAAGTATAGCACGATGCGGAATTTAATGTCAATTTAGATACAGAACGGTTTCGATCAACTGTCAGCACATTTACGGGCGAGGTAACCTCGCTCCTACGGGTAAATGTCCACTTATTTCTGGATTTCACCATAAATTGACGGCTATGGTGCGGTTAATGAGGGTTAAAATTTAATTCGGTAATTTCTTAGCCATGTCCGGTGCGGTTTCAAACCGCACCTACCGGGACTGGGGAAAACAGGGATTACCGATTTAAAGCCTCAAACTTCATCAAACCGCACCTACCGTATTGGCTTTCGGAAACCATCAGCACTCAGCAAGAGGAACTCGTGGCATTCAAGTGAGACGGGCATGCCAGACAGTCTTTCCAGCTGATGGCTATTCTGCTGATAACTGATAACTTCTGATCCGTGCGTTTTTCGGTGTTGCTTTTTTTCAAGGGGTCTGTTATAATTCACTTATCTGGAATTTGCTCAGAAAAAGGAGCGTACTTATGAAAGATTTTGGTTTTACAGGCGGGCGTCCGGATCCGCATACATTCCCGACGGAAGGGTTAATTGCAGCGAGTGAAAAGGCTCTCCGTAAGTTGGGTGGCGATCTGGTTAACTATCCGGGCGAATCAGGCTATCGGGGATTGCGGGAACTGGCATCAATGCGGTTTGAAAGACGCGAGGGTGTCCCGCTGCCGATTGATAACATCTCAATTACCTCAGGCTCCATGCAGGCACTGGAATTGGTACTCGGGACGTTGATTAACCCCGGCGATACAGTGCTGACAGAGGAATATACTTACGGCGGTACCTTGGGTATCATGCGGCACTTCAAGGCGAATATCGTGGGAGTGCCGATGGACTATATTGATGGCATGAATATGGATGCGCTGGAGGCGAAACTCGCGGAGCTCAAACGTCAGAATATCCGCCCATCGTTCATCTATACGACATCGAACCATCAGAATCCGACAGGTGCGATTCTCTCGCTTGAGCGCCGTCATCGGATGTTAGCCTTGGCGGAAGAATATGATACACGCATCGTTGAAGATGATTGCTACGGCGACATTGACTTCACATCGACACCGACACCGGCTTCACTTTTTAAGTTAGATACTTCCAATCGGGTGATTTTCATCGCAACTTTCTCCAAGATTTTAGGAGCAGGTGTTCGACAAGGGTATTTTGTGGCGAGAGAGCCGTATTGGGGACAAATTCACCAGAATCGCTGGGACGGCGGGACGAGCGCGTTGGCGAGTGCGATTGTTGCTGAATTCTTCATGGAGCACTTGGAAGTGCATCTTGTGAAGACGAATGCGGCTGTGGGTGCGAAATGTCGCGCAGTGGTGGAGACGCTTGAGAAGCATGTCAGTGATCTCTGCACATGGACACGACCCCGCGGTGGGCTCTTCCTCTGGATAGATCTGCCGGAGACCACGGATCTCAACAAGTTACAGGAACTTGCCTCGGCAAAAGGGGTCGGATATAGCAACGGAAGTGCTTTCCATTATGCAAGCGAGTCCGTAAAGGCGATTCGACTGGCGTATGCTTATTGCCATGTGGATGATATTCCTGAAGGGATTACTTATTTGTGCGAAGCGATTCGTGCGGCGCAAGTGAACTCAGTGGATGTCGCGGCAGGAGATTAGGGAATAGCTATCGGCAGTCAGCCGTCAGCCGTCGGTAAAGAGGTGGATTTGTAACAATCTTCCGCAGTCTGGAGTACTCCTATTCTGGGTAAATTGTTACCAGATCGCTCTTAACCGAAAACTGAAAACCAATAGGTTCCGATAGCCAAAAACCAAGAGGTTGGCAAACCTCGCCATCGAGGAGGAAAACGGTCGACGGTCAGCCGATTGCTGACTGCCAATAGCCGAAAGCCAATATGCGTAATATCATCCTCATCTCGTTAGATACGCTACGGGCATCAAGCATGAGTTGTTACGGGTATCGCAACCTGACAACACCGCACCTCGATGCACTCGCAGAAAAGGCAACGCTTTTTGAGAAGTGTATCAGCCCACATATTCCGACACACCCTGCCCATACAACAATGTTCACGGGCAAGGATATTTTGTCCCACCAAATTATTACACAGGGTGGGACACTCAACTTGGCAACGGATATAAAGACGGCTCCTGAGCTGCTGAGTGAAGCGGGCTACTTCACCGTTGCTGCAGACAATTTGGGACGCTGGTTTCAGCGCGGTTTCCCTGAGACGCAGTATCGTGGCTACCAATGGGAAATGGGTTACCGCAATGCTCGGAAGGCGGAGGCGGTTAACGAAACGGCGATTGAACTTCTGGACATCGCGCAGGCACAGGATAAACCTTGGTTCGCTTTTCTTCACTATTGGGATCCGCACACGCCGTATTTTCCGCCGCTGCCATTTGAACGGATGTTTTATAGCGGGGACGAATGTGACCCGAACAATCGAAGCATGGATGCGGTTTACGCATGCGAACCTTTTACGGACTATTTCCGGCAGTGGATGTGCACGCCAGACCCATCGGATCCGGACAACATCGCGAAGAAACGGCTCTGGACGGACAGGCGGTATGTGAACGCGCAATACGATGCCTCGATCGCTTATATGGACGCGTGCCTCGCGCAGTTGTTCCGATACCTGCATGATTGTGGACAGTTGGAGGAGACGCTCCTGATTCTTACCGCTGATCACGGTGAGGAACTTGATGAACACGAACTCTGGTATGACCACCATGGGCTCTATGAGACCAATTGCCACGTACCCTTAATCGTTCACTGTCCGGCACTTATTCCTGAAGGACAACGGCTTGGCGGTCTTGTCCGTCTTACCGACATTGCCCCGACAATCCTTGATTATGCGGGGTTGACAGCGGTGGCGGCACGTGAAAAGATGGAGGGCACAAGCCTACGTGCCTCGATGGAAAACAGCTCGCACGATGGGGACAACGGAAGCGGTCTATCTTACGGAGTGCGGATGGATGAAAAAGCGTGGGTGGCAAACCCAGAAGTGGAAATTGATTGTTGAAACAGGTGGCACGCCTGCCGTTTACAACATGCCTGATTTGGAACTCTACGATCTTGAAGAGGATCCCGATGAAGTTTATAATCTGGCTGAAGAGGCGGGCGATGTCGTTGCGCGTTTGAGAGCGGATATGGAGGCTTTTCTGCAACGCCGACTTGCCGAAACAGGTCTACCGGATCCAACGGTTGAACAGGATATTACCATGCGACGCATCGGTGATAAATCTAAAGCGGTGCCGCTTTGAAGAGGAATATCGTGAAATATAGATATAGATTGCGCCTCGTCGCTTCGATTTTCAATAGCGTGATGCGAATGCGAGCAGTGCTTGTGCCGCTTGTGTTGATGTTCGTTCTCAATGGTTGTGCTGCGTTAGAGGAAGCGCAGCGACGGCGCAATAAACGGATACTCGAAGAACGGGATGCCACTTCGCTCATGCTCAGACCCTCAAACGCAACGATTGAAGTCAGACCGGACGCTCTGTTCGGTGAGAGTGATCACTATACTCTCAAATTTTCTGACGATTTGCAAGCACTTGAAGGATTTGACGAAGTCGAGGAACGGGATATATTCACACGAAGTGCACTCGGTTATATGGAAAGCCTTTACGAGTCGATGAATCGGCTCTTCGGTTTTCAGCCGAAGCATAAGATTCACGTGACACTGCATCACCTCTATAGAGGCACGAATCTCGCGGCGGTTACGCGTACCGACTATCGTTCAGGTACTCTGGATGGACGCTATGTGAAGTTTATTAACGGTATTCAGATGGATTTCCCATTACGGATGTATGAAAAACACGGCGTGCGCGCCCATGAGTTGACCCATGCCTTTACGAATATCTATTTTCTACCGGTATGGTTCTCGGAAGGCATTGCTGTCCTGATTCAGACGGAATATGCGAAAGGTGGAACGCATCCTAAGTTTGATAGTCTTGAAGGGGAGTATCTGCGAGTTGATCTCGATGGTGTGAATCAATTGGAGAGTTGGGGCGGACATACTGAAAACAGTCCGCTGACGCAGTGGCGCTATAGATACGCGTATACGCTTGTTGCTGAGTTGTGGAAGCGATACGGCAACGATTTTTATATCAGGGTTTTTAGGTTGATGGAAGCAGATGGCCTTCATCAAAAACTGGTGGGGACCATGAAGACCAGTTTTTTGGCTTATTATTTCAGTGAAGCCGCGGGTGAGGATCTCGTGCCTTTCTTTAAGAAATTGCATTTCAAGGTGCGTAAATTGACAAAAGAGGACATTCTCAATCAGATTGAAGCGAATAGCGTACGTCGGAGGCGATAATGCGTGTTAAATTCAAATCATGTAGGATGCGTGTATCCCTGTTATTGGGGTTGATGTGTCTATGCTATGGTTGCAGCCTCAGCCAGCAGTGGAGCGAGAACTACGCGATCCTGCCCGGTGTAACCGCCAGCGATCCGGCAATCATTGATGGAAACAGTGAGACTATCGGGCAATCCCAACGTAAAAAGGGGTCAGGGTAGTGTTGTAACCGACCTTGATATTCCATCGGAGGCGATCGTCTATTTGCCAGAGAAGAAATCGCTCTATCGGATTGTGATTCACTCCACGAATTTGGAAGAGTTCGAGTTGCTGGCGTTTAACTCGCGTGGTGAGTGGGACAAAATCTATGACCAGCGGAGTAACAAGAATCCGATCATCGATATCCGCCTCAACAAAGCGGTTACGACAACGGGCATTAAACTGATCGTGCATCGGACGACGGAGGATGCGGCTCGGAGACGGGAGAACGTCCAGATACGGCGCGAAAATGTGGAAGTTGCAGAGGGACAGATACGGCGTGGACGTTACCGTTATCGCATAACAGGACCGACAACGGCACTCGCGAAGATTGCGGAGGTTGAGTTGTACGGCTACACGGATTAGCCATCGGCGGTCGGTTTCCGTAGGTTGGGTTGAACGACTCCCTCCTAAAAACCAAACAGAAAAATAACTTTCATGCTCACGCGGTTACGGAGAACCCACGGCGGGAGAAAAGCGCGTGTGGCTTTTCCAAAGACCCTACTACTTTGGGATTCATGCAGTCCACTCGGCTTCAACAGCACTTAGACCGATACTTTGGTATCCCGCTTTGTGTCCTGTTACGTCTATTCTCTAAGCGGGCACCGACAACACCCACCCCGAAAAAGATTCTTTTCATCCAACTCTCTGCTTTGGGTGACACGATTTTGGCGATCCCCTACCATTCGGGCGATACGACGCGCCTTTCCCAATACCGAAATCACGATGTTAGCGTCACCGACGAACCTGAATTATTTAGCGGAGTGCCCTTATATTGACAGACGTATTCCATTCCATAAACCGGGAGTCGGTTGATTTCGCTGCTGCGCCGTGAAAGATTTGATTGGGCAATCGACTTAGAGCATTGGCCCCGATTGAGCGCGCTGCTCGCTTATGCGACGGGTGCGCCGATGCGAGTCGGGTTTTCGACGAAGGGACAGTATCGTCATTTTCTCTTCACAGAGACGGTGCCGCACATCCAAGGACGGCATGAGGTCCGCAACTTCTTGAGCCTTGCGGCACAACTGAACTGTTCAGTCCAAGAACTTGGGCTTGAGGTTTGGTGGCGTGAAAAGGAACGTGCGTGGGTGCGCGAAGTTTTGGTAGAAGCGGGTATCTCGCTGGAGAAACCGCTTATTGTGCTACATCCAGAGGCGGGCAGACGTGGTGAACCTCGCAGGCGATGGCCACAGGGACGCTATGTGGCGTTGGCGAATGCCCTCGTTGCGAGGTATGGCGCACAGATCGTTTTGACGGGTGCGCCGGATGAAGTAGCGGTCTCCGAAGAGATTGCCGAGCGGACGAAACAGCAAGCAGTCGTACTTGCGGGACGGACGGATGTCAATCAACTCGCCGCACTTTTTGCGGATGCAACGTTGGTGGTGAGCGGCAATTGTGGTCCAATGCACCTCGCGGCGGCAACCGGAACACCGGTTATCGGGTTGCATGGTCCCACGAATTTTGCGCAGTGGGGTCCTTGGAGTCGTAATTCGAGTATCGTGCGTGCGCGGATACCGTGCAGTCCGTGTCTTAATTTGGGGTTTGAGTACGGATGTCAAGCACTTCCCGATGGGACATCGCCGTGTATGCACACGGTTGCGGTTGCGGCTGTGCTTCGGGAGTGTGAACGGTTGTTGTGTATCGGCGGTTAGCAGTCCGCCTGCGGTTGGGAAACCGCACCTACCGGGCTTGACGGAACGAGGTGCGGAAAACAGAAAAAAAGGCGAGGTTCGGAAACCTCGCCTTTTGTTGTACCAATGGTTTAGTACATGTCACCACCCGGCGGCATCGGGGGTGCCGCTGGTGCTGCCGCCTCAGGCAATTCTGCGATGAGGGTTTCGGTGGTAATCATCAATGCTGCGATACTGGCTGCGTTTTGCAACGCCACCCGTACGACCTTTGTCGGATCGGGGATACCCGCTTCAAACATGTCGATGAAACGTTCTTGATGTGCATCGTAGCCGATGTTTCCGCCTTCGTCCTTGACTTTTGCGATGATGACGGAGTCTTCCTGTCCGGCGTTCTTCGCGATTTGACGGAGCGGATCTTCGAGTGCACGGCGGACGATAGAGACACCGACTTGTTCCGTGGGATCGCTGAGTTTAAGCGAATCGAGTACGGCTTGGCATCTCACGAGTGCGACACCTCCGCCGACCACAACACCTTCCTCAACGGCGGCGCGTGTGGCGTGCATTGCGTCTTCAACACGCGCTTTCTTCTCTTTCATCTCGACTTCTGTAGCGGCACCGACATTAATGACGGCAACACCACCGGCAAGTTTTGCGAGGCGTTCCTGCAATTTCTCGCTGTCGTAGTCGGATGTTGTGTCTTCGATCTGCCTACGAATCTGGTCAATACGACCTTGGATGGCTTCGGTTGTGCCTTCGCCTTCAACGATGGTTGTATTGTCTTTGTCGATAACAACGCGTTTGGCACTGCCGAGGTCGGTCAAGGTAATGTTTTCGAGGTTAATCCCGAGGTCTTCGGAGATGACGCGTCCGTTTGTCAAGACGGCAATGTCTTCGAGCATTTCTTTACGGCGATCACCGTAGCCGGGTGCCTTAACGGCGACACAACGGAGTGTTCCCCGAATTTTGTTGACAACGACGGTTGCGAGTGCTTCGCCTTCGACATCTTCAGCGATGATCAACAGCGGTTTGCCCTGTTGTGCGGTACGTTCTAAGACAGGAACGAGGTCTTTGAGGCTGCTGATTTTCTTTTCGTGGATGAGGATTGCGGCGTCTTCTAAAACGGCTTCCATCCGATCGGCATCAGTGACGAAGTACGGTGAAAGATAGCCGCGGTCGAACTGCATACCTTCGACGACATCGAGTGTCGTTTCGAGGCTTTTTGCTTCTTCGACGGTGATAACGCCATCTTTTCCGACTTTTTCCATAGCGTCAGCGATGAGATCGCCGATAGCGTTGTCATTATTTGCGGAAATAGCGGCGACTTGTGCGATTTCGGCTTTCTCCGAGACCTCTTTGCTCAAGCCGTGAATTGCGCCAACGACTGCCTCGACGGCTTTTTCAATACCGCGTTTGAGTGCCATGGGGTTATGCCCCGCGGCGACGTTTTTCAAGCCTTCGCGATAGAGAGATTGTGCAAGGATCGTTGCGGTGGTGGTCCCGTCTCCAGCGACCTCGCTGGTTTTAGATGCGACCTCTTTGACCATCTGTGCGCCCATATTTTCGTAGGCATCTTCGAGTTCCACCTCTTTTGCGACGGTAACACCATCTTTGGTGATCGTCGGTGCGCCGAATTTCTTATCGAGCACGACATTCCGTCCTTTGGGACCTAATGTGACTTTTACTGCGTCCGCGAGCTTGTCAACGCCTTGTTTAATAGCGCTCCGTGCTTCTTCATCAAACGCAAGTTGTTTTGCTGCCATGTGTTTAACTCCTTTTCTTAGTTAACCTTGGCTAAGATATCATCTTCGCGCAAGATGAGATATTCAGTGTTATCATATGTAACTTCGGTGCCGCCGTATTTGGCGAAAAGAATGAGGTCGCCTACTCCCACGTCAACGGGCTGTCGGTCCCCGCTATCGAGAAGTCTACCGCTTCCAACGGCAACAACTTCGCCTTCCTGCGGTTTCTCTTTGGCGGTGTCGGGGATGATAATCCCGCCGCTCGTTGTTTGTTCATCGTTATCTGAACGTTTGACGAGAATTCTGTCGCCAAGGGGTACAAGTGCCATGTTGCTGAATTCCTCCTTGAGTATAGCGTGAAAATTGTGAGGGAAGGTTTCTGTGCCTTCACTCAGTTTCTCTACATCATAAGACGGTGTGAAAACGCCGTCGTTATAATATAGTAGCAATTTTCGTGCCAATCCCTGAAACTGCCATATCGTCAGGGTTAGACGGAAGAACGTGACATTTTGGCAGGTTTTCTGACGTGACAATTTGTCTCTTTCAAAAATTAAATTGAAATATACTGCGCCATTTTGGCACATTCTACAGAAATTGCTTCGCAGTGAGAACCCGCTGGGGCTTGGTTTTTCGTGTAGGCGTGCTCTATAGAAATGTCACCCTTTCGGGGTTGGGATTCTCATTGTTTTGTCGGTTATTCTGATATTCACCGGTGCGGTTACAAACCGAACCTACCGGGATTGCGAAGGGCACGGTTACAGACCTCGCCAGCGGAAAAACGGCTGTCGACTATCCGCCATCGGTCTCCGTTGAAGACCATCCGCTGACGGAAACCGACCGCTGATGGAAACCGACGGCTATTTTATGTGGCGGGACACGGAACCAGTTGTCCTGTTTCCCCTGCGCGATATGCGGCGGCAAGAATCTCGTTTGCTCTTAATCCATCATTTCCGGTTGTGATAGGTGCTACACCTTCGTGTACACATGCTGCGAAATGCTCAAATTGATATTGATACAGGTCTTCGTATTGTGAGTGGATCAATTGCGGTTCGCCCTCAAAATAGGTTTTGATTTTCCAACCGTTGTCGTTGTAAATCCAAGTTGTGCCTTCCGTACCGTAGAGTTCTAAAATAATATCGCATTGCGGCACTGAAAAACTGAGGTCAGTGAAAGCTTGTGCGCCGTTATCGAAGCGTATAAGGATGCCACCGGTTTCTTCGACAACGGTGTCTTGGGTTGTGGTGTTGTAAAACGCGCTGACGGCGTTCACCTCGCCGATGAGGTAACGGAGTAGATCTACACTATGCGGACCAAGATCCATGAAGCATCCGCCGCCACCCTTTTCCGGTTGCGCGCGCCATTCGTCTGGTGTGAGTTGATACTGTTTCAGAAATGGCATACGCCCATGGACTATCGTGCCGAAACGTCCCTCGTCTACCCACGTCCGGATCTGTTGGAAGCAGGAGTGAAACCGGAAGAGGAAGCAGACTTGCAGGTGGACACCGTTTGTTTCGCAGGCGGCGATCATTTCTGTACATTCTTGTGGTGTGAGTGCCATCGGTTTATCGCAAAGCACGTGTAAGCCGCGTTCCGCGGCGGCGATGACCTGCTCACAGTGTAGGTGAACGGGTGTTGAGACGTAGATTGCGTCGAGTGCATCGTCTGCCAAGAGGGCATCAACGGTGGTGTAGGCGTTGGTTGCGCCGTGTTCTCGCGCCAATTGTTCTGCGCGCGTAGCGTCGCGTGAGAGCAAGGCGTGGAGTTCTGCGCCGTCTGCCTTTTTAATGGCTGGCATGGCTCTGCGTTGTGCGACGCTGCCCGCGCCTAATACGCCCCATTTTAAGCTCATCGTTTTTTAGACCTCATCTGTTTTGTTGTTCAAAAGATAGGCGAGGTTTGGAAACCTCGCCAGCGGACGGAGGAAGTTTCTATTGTTTTTGGACCTCGTCTGTTTTGTTGTGCTGTATATTATAGGGGATTTTAGGATATATCTCAACGTTTTTGTGCTATTGGCTATCGGTTGTCGGCTGTCAGAGAAATAGCGGTCAGCGGTCGGCTCTCAGTAGTCAGTACAATAGCCGTCAGCGGAGTGGTAGTAGGTTTCCATCGGTTTCCGTAGTTCCCATCAGCAAGAGGGTGTAACTTCACCAGAAAACCTCTTTACTGAAGGTTTCCGATAGCTGAAAGCCGATGGCTATTCCTCTGAATCGCGGATTGTCGCGGATGACGCGGATTACACGGATTTTTTATTGTCGGTCCCCATCGCCTGAATCAGGATTTGCAGGATTCGTATAAACGTAAGTTCGACATTATAGCAAAGCCTATAATTACCTATACACATTAGAGTTAGCGAGGAGGAGATGGATTGGTGAAAAGGGGGGTGCCGCGTATCTATACACCTTTCGCCCCGCTGGGGAAACCAAAGAGGATTTTGAGGTATACAAGGTTTGTGTCTAAGTGCCGGTGCGGTTACAAACCGCACCTACCGAACCTGGGAAGCGAGGCTATTGTTTTTTCTTAAATTTACACTTATGGGATAGTGCCTGAAAAACCCCATTAAAACGTCCAAAACTTGTTAGTAGCAACTTGGGTTAATTTAATAGCGTTAAGGGATTCTCCTGCGCCTTGAGATAAGCGTTCGGGTCGTGATACAAAGCTCCTTCCGGCAGCCACTCCCATAAATCCCCTAAACTCTTTCGTATCCGCTCCACATAGAACTCTGGAATTTCTGTCGTCTGGCCCGTGAAAAAAGGTTGGAACTGCGGGTCTTCATCAAGCCTCCGGCGGATTTCGCGATAGTACTTGAGTTGCTCAAACCATGGCAGCACACGGATAACGTTCACCCATCGCGGGACAAAGGCATCAATCGCCTTGTAACTGCTAAAGAGATTCCCCCATGAGATGTTATGTTTAATCAGATCAATGACGTTATCGTACAACTCATCCCACGCATAGTTTTTCGGTTTGATATTCATTCCGCGCTTACTGTCAAGGAAATAGAACGGAAAGGGGAGGACACGACCTTCTTGTTGATATTCAAGGTTGAGAGGCGCCGCCTGTCCGTATGATGTCAATAGCAAATACGCAGGATAGGCCCCAGGGGTCATCTCCAGGAAGCGTTTTGTGAGTTCAAACGGCTCTGTCCCTTCATCAATATCAAGTCCAAATATGAAGTTGGTTTGAACGTACGGGAACGTATCTCAGAATCATGTTAACCTGCTCCGAAACCTCTTGAACTTTATCGATTCCTCGATTTTTCCCTGTTTTCGATTTGTTTCCGAAATCCTGCCATGACTCAATTCCGGGCATCAGCATCTTAAATCCGTTTCGCTTCAGCCGTTTCATGTGTGGTTCCGAGAGGAGTGCGAGACTGCTTTCGGCGATGAAGTCTATGCTATCTGGCGGCACTGCGTCTTCGATTGCCGACAGGTAATCATCGAATCGGACACCGAAATTCGGATCGTGCCATCCGACGAGGGGTCGCTTAAACTTCTCTAAGAGGAAACGCAGATCTGCCTTGATGACATCAAATTCCAGGGGCTGATAGGGAATAACTGAATCGATGCAAAAGCTACAAGTGTATGGACATCCCATACTACCGAGCATCGGAACCGCCTTAATCCAGGGGGCTTTGCGGTGGGTGAGTTCTATGAACTTCCAACGCTCTTGCACGCCGGGGAGTGTCCCCGGTTGTCCATTCGCTGCGAGATGAACGCCGATAGGTCGGTGCGGGGAACAGTCTTGCAAAAGATCGCGGATGACTGTTTTGTCCGTGAAACCGAGAACGTAATCGAAATACTTCTGGGCATCTTGAGGATAGCAGCGAGCATGGGGACCCCCGAGTACGGTAACCGCGCCTTGGGATCGGAAGAGGTTGCTCAAGGCGTATGCGAGTTGGGCTCCCTGCGAAAATGTTCCTATGATAACGAGATCGAGTGTTTCAGGTAATTCCTCAAGGGAATTTTCAAGCCCGGTATAACACATAAAGTAGACAGCATGTCCCTCTTCCTCGCACCACGTGGCGATAGCCTGGGGCATAATGCTTGCCAGATTCGCGTGCATTGTCCGTGCCCACAAAGTTCGCGTGGGACCTTTGGCAACGAGGTCAATAACACCAATTTGGAGTTTCTTCACAGTCACTCCTTTGTGAGAAATTTTTCTCAAATAACGTGAGTTGGTTATAAGAACACAAACTCTTTACAGCATAACAGAATAACCGAATTATTACCAAAAGAAATTTCTAAAGGATATTATACACTCTTTGTGAAATTGATAATCTTTTTTTCACATTTGATAGGGTTGTTTAGTTTTCGGTTTTCGGCAGTTCTTTGGGTGAGTCGGGATTTGGAGATCCCTCCTACAAGAAAGGCTGACGGCTATTCCTCTGATAACTGATGGCTAATTACTCAGAAGGAGATGCACACCGGTCGCGAATAGGAAGAAGAGGACGATTCTCGAGAAGAGCCGTTCCGGCACGCGGTTGTTGAGCGAGATACCCGTTAGCACGCCTAATCCGATAAATGGGAGAAGCACGAGCGCTTCAATCAGAATTTCGAAAGAGAAAAGTTGCAACTGGAAATAGAACGGAATTTTGATGAAGTTGAGTAGGAAATAGGTGGCGGTCGTGGTTGCGACGAAGGCGGTGTTGCCTAAACGTTGTGGGAGCAGGTACATGACGATGACGAGTCCACCCATGTGCGCGAGGGTTGAGAACGCGCCTGCGAATATCCCTGCAAGAAGTCCTTGCCACGTTTTGAATTGGAGCGCTGTTTGGATGGATTGCCCGGAATTTCCGAGGAGTGGTTGCCAATACGGACGCAGGAATTCTAATATCGCAAATAAGCAGGCGATGCCACCGATGACCTTTTTTAGGTGGACATCAGAGATGTCCTTCAAAATCAGGCTTGCTAAGGCGATACCGAGTAGGGAGCCGAGGACCAGCCGTGTGACGCTTTGACGATGCCACTGCTGCCAGTAGTGGGAAAGCGAGAAGATGTCTGTTGAGAACAGAAGCGGGAGCATTAACCCGATGACGTTTCGAGCACTGCGGAAATGCGTGAACATGGGAACGACGATCATTCCGATGCCGCCCCCGAAGCCGGCTTTGCTTACACCGGTGAGCCATGCCCCGAAGCAGAGGATGATGATTTCGTAAATGGTGCTGCCTCCTTCCTGGCGAGGTGAGTATAGCAGCTTATCAGTAATGTCAAGGATATTAGCCATCAGCGGTCAGCATATTAGCCATCAGCCATCAGCATCAGCATCAGTCACAAGAGGTTTTGTTAAACGAGAACCTCTTAACTGACAGCTGAAAGGGGAGGGTAGAGTATGCGTGAACGTTTTCCGCTGTAGAGCGAGCTGTGCTCCATATGCGGGAAAACCTTAACATCTGTGAACGAAAACCAAGATCGGAACCGAAAACTGAATAGCCCTGAGCCAATAGCAGAAATATTTGACATTCGGGGTGAGATGTGGTATAATTTACGGAATACTTTTGTAATTTCAAATTTCAATGGAGGCTAAAAAAAATGGTTCAAGTAGAAGTGAATGTCGATTCAGGTGAAGCGTTTGATCGCGCCCTGGCACGCTTTAAGAAGATGTGTGGAAAAGCCGGTATTGTCACAGAGATAAAAAAACGGAGTTTTTACGAGAAGCCGAGCGAGAAACGACGCAGAATTGAGATGAAACGGCAGCGGAAGGTGAAACCCTCGCAGAATGACGGGTGAACGTCCATCGTTTTACAATAGCGGTGGTAATGATAGTACTCGGTAAATAGCTTGAGGAGGGATGTATGGCAGATCTGGCTACTGTCGAGGCTTTGGAGAATTATAAAGGGCTTTTGATTCAATACTGCCAGGAACGGGGGCTGCGCCAGCCGACTTATACTGAAACGCAGCAGGGACCGGCGGATTCCCCACAATGGCAGGTAACAGTGTCTTACGGGGACTGCGTCTACGAGACGCCGGAACCGATTTCTGGCTCAAAAAGAGTTGCGCACCAAGCAGCCGCACAGCAGGTGTTAGACGAAATCAATTCGCGGCGCGAAAGTTTTTTAGCGGGTGGGACAGTAGATACACTCCCTGCGCCTATTTCGGAACCTGTTTTAGATACGCTTACACCGCTTGAAGCCCCTATACCGCTCGTGTCAAACGCGCTGAAGATTGCGAACGAACGGCTTACCACATCGCAACCTTCACGGTACCGGATGCTTACAGATGCCGAATTTTCGCAAAAACTTTCCAAATTGACGTTAGAGATTGTCCGGAGTCTGCTTGAGAGGGCGGAAGCGGATAAGATTACGTTTCGGTAAATCAGCCATCAGCAGTCAGCAGTCAGCCGTTAGAAAAGGTCGCGACCGAGAGGTCGCTCCTACAAGAGAGGCGAGGTTCATTAACCTCGCCGTTTTTTTTTGAGGTGTTGTCCGTATCCAGCCTCCCTACTACTCCGCTGGCGAGGTTTCCTAACCTCGACATGACAGACGATAGCCATTTTAGAACGAAACGGTCCCTCCGGGGAGAGCGGGATTCGGCAACCTCGGCAACAGAGGGTGTTTTTCTTTTGACATTCCGTAATGAGGTGCTATATAATACGGGGGAGTACGTTTTTTTCACAACGGGCGGGGACCCCTCGTCAGCGGCAGAAATATATATGCTACGGTTTCTTTCCGACGAAATAGACGGCTGATGCCAAAATATGGGCATCTTTATGTAGGGACAGTGGCACATCTAACAGTAGGATCGGAAATGTCAGCCATCCGACGATAAGAGAGATTGCTTTCGCGAGGAGTAAACTACCGAACGAACAGACCAGTCCGACGTATTCTCGGAAGATCCAGTGTAAAGAGGTCGTCGGACCGGCGCAGGGACCACTCTCGATTTCAGAGAATGCGGCACAGAGTTGGACGATGCCGGGGACTGTCCACCGCTGGTAATCGTGAGGCGAGGCGTGGTAGCCTTGTAGGAATGGGACGGCGATGCAGATATTGCCACCGGGTTTCAGCACACGATAGATTTCAGCGACAACGAGATTCGGCGAGCGGACATGCTCAAGGACGGCTTCAGAGATCACCGCATCGAAGGTGTCGTCGCTGAATGGCAAAAAGTGTCCATCGGCGACAATATCGACTTCAGGCGTCATGTCAATTTCGAGGTTGATGACGTTTGGGGCGCGGCGGCGAGTGCCGGCACCAAGATCCAAGATTTTCGCGTCGGGACCGAGACGCTGGAGCAGTTTTCTGACACATCGATTCCATCGTGGGGCGGGATATGGACATCCGATGAGGTAAGATAAGAACGGGTTTTGTCTAAGTTTGCGTTTTATGCGTGAAATCAAATCCGGTTTCGAGTCTATCATAAGATATGATGATACATAACCTTTCCGAAAAGTATGAGGGGTATTTTCGCGGTGCCCAGGGGGTCTGCTCTGCGTCTCGGCGTGAACGTCTGGCATCAATTCATAGCGCACAAATGTCTCCAGCAGGCATCGTCGTTGGCGTTTAACACATTGTTGTGTCTCGTGCCGTTGTCAGCGGTTGCGCTGTTTTTGCTGAAAACGTTTGGTATTGTGGAAGATGGTAACTCGCCGTTGATTGCTGCGCTCCGTGATAACTTCTTACCACGCTATAGCGCTGAGGAAATTGTATCAGAACTCTCAGGATTTGCCAATAGAAATCTTGGGGGTCTGAGTGTCGGTGGTTTTCTGCTTTTTCTCTTGGTCTCAACGATGCTGTTCATGTCGGTAGAGCAGCATTTCAACGACATTTGGGGGGCGCGGCGTAGGTTGCCAGTGGTACAAGCGTTCCAGAAATACGCCGTTTTCTATACGTTGCTCTCTGTGGGACCGCTTGCTCTGGCTCTTCTTTTCGACGGCTACCAACTGGGTGTTTGCACATGTGTTCCCGTGGATGTTGGTCTACTGCGTTTTTTTCCTGATGTACATTGCGATGCCGAATACGTTCGTGAAGTGGAGTGCGGCACTGCTCGGTACATTCGTTGCCGGGACGTTCTTCCAGGTCGCGAGGATCGCCTTTGGGCGTTATCTGGAGTTGGTGTGGCAGAATTATAGCGACATCTACGGTGCGCTGGCGATGCTGGTTATCTTTGCTATCTGGACATACGTGGCGTGGGTGGTGATCCTGCTCGGTGCGGAGGTCTCGAATTCTGTCCAGCATTTCCGTCAGCAGGACCTTGTGCGCGAGCGGTTTCGCTATGAGTCCAACGGCTATCTGAACGCTGCTGGTGTGATTACGTTGTTTCTGATCGTTGCGGAACGTTTTGCGAAGGGTGAGGGTGCGTGTTTGGCGGAGGAGGTTGCTGCGCGTTCGGGTGTTTCAGCAGAGGTTGTGCATCAGAGTTTTGAACGGTTCAAGGCGGCGGGGTTAATCTATGAGGTTGGCGGGGATACGGATGGGTATCTCCCGGCGCGTGCGTTAGCGGATATTACACTGGCGGCGGTTGTGGATGCGGTTGAGGGTGAGATGACAACACATTTTGCGCAGGGAATGTCGTCTGAGTCGGGCGGGCGCGTGTTGGGGACGCTCCAGCAGTCGCAGCGGGACTGTTTGGAGCAGGTTACGGTCGCGTCGTTGTTGTGAGGCATATCGGTCAGTTGTATGAAGCGGATTTTCCTGCAGGATTAAAGGATTTCAGGATTGCCAATACAGATTCTAAAAACAAATATATCGCCCCGCTGGGCTGAGGTTTTGTCCGCCCCTCGCCGGTCACGCTGGCGAGACGCTGGCAGGTTACAAACTGCTCCTAGCTTTTCAGACCGTCTAGCAAATAGGGCGGGTGGACTCAGCCAGCGGCACAGGGGTGGGCAAGGAAAACTCGCTGGCCTCACGTAATACAAAAATCCGATACACATCTCATCTGTCGTTTTTTCGCCCCAACCGATAGGGATCGGTGGATTGTGCGGGTTCGCTGGGTTCTCTGACGAATTATCGAAATGTGAGACGAGATCAACACGCGTGCCAGCAGGGAAAAAGAGCGGCTGGCGATAATGATAAACGTCCTGCCAATTGAAATCCCAATCTTGAATCCAGATGAGGTCGTGTTTATCACCCGATGGCGTTGTGGCGACAAGCCGCATGTCGCGTCCGAGCAGATGCATGTGCGGCATCGTTGCTAACAGGTAAACGTCCCTCTTGAACGTTTTCGATGCTAAGACCTCATGCCACTTCTCACCCGCAGGGATGACGAAATCACTGTTGATGGCATCTCCGATATGCAACTTGGTTGTTTCCGCCGTTTTGGAGAAGTATAACCCCAACCGTGAGCGATCCCGTTCGAGATGTCCCGTGCGGTAGTAATGTACCTGCATGACAATATCGGCACCTTTCGGTAAGAGATACCCGACACCCTCCGGTAAGACCAATGGCGTAATGCCGGGTGCCCAACCGCCGACCGTTCCTGCGCTATCAAACCCGGGTCCTGTGCCTTCCGTAACATAGCCCGGTTTCGGGTCTTGTGCGTCGAGTTTACGCGCTTCGCCGTTCACGTCTAAGTAGGCGATGACGTGATGCACGGTTTTCCGATTGCCGGGTTGCACATCGACGGATTGAACGTACATGTCCGTTTCGAAGTTGGTGGGGATAATGAACTGCCGATATTCGTCTGCGCCTTCGGGTTCGATTTCATATTCGACCGGCATTTCAGCGATCCAATCGGGTTCACCGAGTGCCCAACCTTCGGGGAACTCCGGTGCGGGTGGCACAGCGTCGAGGTCGCCAGCGGGTGCACCGGCTTCTACCCAGTGTGCGATCATCTGGATTTCGGTGTCCGTGAGTTGCCGTGCGTTCTTGAAGTCGCCGTAGCCGGACGCGGGTTTCCACGGCGGCATGAGACGTGCCTGCGTGTATTCAGCGATTTCGGTTGCCCACGCCTTTGCGTCGCTGTAGTCGATGAGTGTGAAGGGCGCGACCTCGCCGTGCCGATGGCATGTCTGGCAATTCTTCTGGAGGACGGACGCGATGTGCTCGCTGTAGGTGATCTCTGTGGGGAGACCGGCTTCGGGGAAATGGATCGTGCATCCGAACGCTGGCGTCTCTTGCACAGGGATAGAGGTATCGGTGTGCGTTGCGAGGAGCGCGTCTCGTAGATAGTGGTGTTTGACGCGTGGCTCGTAGCGGTTATCGTCGATGGCAGCCGCGGTAACTGACTGTGCGGGTTGTGTCAATAAGGACGGCTTGCTGGGTCATGGTCGCGCCGAGAGCACGTGCGAGTTTGCCGGTTGTATCCTTCACGACGAGGAACGGATGGTCTGCCTTGGCGACGTAGTTTTTCACCTCGTCTTCGGAATCGTTTTCGTTGGCGTAGACTGCGACGAAGGTAGTGTTGGTTTGGGCGGCGAATTCGGCGTGCAACTGTTTCAGACGCATCGTGTAGCGTTGTGCGACGGGGCATTCGGTTGCGAGGAACGCGAAGACGACCGGTCCCTGTGCGGTGAGGGTGTCTAAATTATGTGTATCGCCGCGGAGCGTTGCGAAGGTGAGGCGCGAAATCTTTGTGCCGATGGGAACGTTGCTCGGTTGTACGGATGCCTCTTGGATGACGCGATGTTTTTTTGTGATCGTCCATTCGGACGCGGTGTATCCTGTGAAGGGTAGTGCAAGTATAAGGAATAGCGTTAGTAGCTGCGGTTTCATACCGACCTCCGGTTGATGCTTTTTCTGGTTTTAGTATAACACGTTTTGGGGAGGGCGGTCAAGGGGATAATTGACATCTATACACTTTATGCTATACTGTCCCCAGATTTGTAACTCGTGCGTTATACAACAGGATATGAGAATGATAAAAGATAAATTGACCCATAAAATTATCGGTTGCGCGATGAAGGTGCATAGGGTTCTTGGAAGCGGCTTTCAAGAAGTGATTTATCAGCGGGCACTTGCTATTGAGTTTGAACGCGCAGATATCGTCTTTGGGCGTGAGGTAGAGCATCCGATTTTTTATCAGGGAATTCCGGTCGGCACACGAAGAGCTGACTTTATTGTAGAATCACTGGTTGTGGTTGAGCTGAAAGCACTCACTGCTTTGGAAGATGTTCACATCGTCCAAGCCAAAAACTATGTAGTGGCTTACGATTTTGAAATCGGGCTTTTGATCAATTTTGGTGCCTCAAGTTTAGAATACAAACGTATCTTCAATCCGAAGAAGCAGTAGGTAAGCGGTTCTTGTCTGAAGCAGGATGAGAAGAGCGTCTGAAGCAGGATTTACTGGATTTAGCAGATTCACAGGATTGTCGAGGTGGTTGGATTGACGTTGTTCTACCTATGGTAAAATATATAATTGAGGGGGCTTCATAAACGGATTTTGTAGGACAAACTGTATGAGGAACAATTTCCAATCAAAACGGTTTCGCATCCTATAAATCCTATAAATCCCATAAATCCTGCTTCGGACAATTCCACAATCCTGCTAATCCCATAAATCCCATAAATCCCATAAATCACAGTTCAGACAATTTCCCAATCCTGGAAATCCTATATAGTAAAGTCGAAAAATATGTGGACAGTTAGTCAGTGAACAACGACCCCACCGCCGCTGGCGAGGATTGTATCCTCGCCTCTTTAGAGCGTCCAAGTAATTATAGGCTTTACTATAAATCCTGTAAATCCTGCTTCAGACAATTCCCCAATCCTTCCAAAATCACAGTAAATCACATAAATCCCATAAATCACAGTTCAGACAATAAGGAAAAGGCGCGGTTTTCACACCGCGCCTTCGTTTATTTGAAAAAAGAGTCGGGAATCGGAGTTCCCTCCTACTTCAAAATAACCATTTTCCGCATTAACGACATCTCGTCGGTTTCGAGCTGATAGAAATACAAACCACTCGCAACCTGTTCGCCAAGTGCGTTCCGACCATCCCAATACGCCGCACGATCCCGACCCGTGTAGTAGCCAGCCGACTGATGTCCAAACTGCAACGTCCGGATCACAACACCTTGCGTGTTGTATATCGTGAGTCGCACATTTGTATCCGTCGCCAACTCATACGGAATCCACGTTTCGGGGTTGAACGGATTCGGATAGTTCGCAAGCAACTGCGTTTTCTCTGGACGTGCCGTCACGAGAAGCTGCTGCAGGTATACCAGCACCCGCATCGCTGCGGGTGAACGATCGTTCGTTGCGATCAACAAATCGATCTGTTCTTTGATGATATCTATCTGCGCCGCACTCATCTTCATGCCAACGATTGTCGGCGCGCCCGCCGCACCCGGATCACGATTGTCGAAGACGAGTAGCAGGTCAAGGAAGTTGACCGTGCCGTCCCCGTTAACATCGTACTACGTGTTGCTTGTCCCCATCGCGTCTGCGACTAAGCCCGCGTCCGTGTTATCCACCGTCCCGTCGGAATTGAGATCATACTTAGATCGAGAAGCGGTCGTTGTGGTTGTCGTCGTCGTCGCCGCAGGTGCCGTGATGCTGTTGCTCAGCACCATGTCACTCGGGCTGCCCAAACCGCTAACGACGTTCTTGGCACCCGAACCGTTGAGGTTCGCTTGTTTGATTTTACCACTCGAGGCAGTCCAGTAGAGTTTGCTCCGGGCAGTGTCAACGGCGATCCCCATCGGGACGCTCCGGATCGAAGTGAGTTCCCTAACGCCTGTGCCGTTGAGGTTCGCACTGTTGATCGTGCCAGCACTCGTAGCCGTCTTTTCCGTCCAGTAAACTTTACCGCCACCGATCGCGAGGCTTCCGGGAGTATCCGAACCTGTGGAAACATTGCGAACCACTTTTTGACCCCTGAGGTTCACAAACCGGACGCTTCCGTTACCTTGTGTCCAATACGCATTACCACCCGCTAAGGCGATATCCATCGGACTCGGCAGATCTAACATCACGTTTTCCCTACCTGAACCGTCGAGGTTCGCTCGTTTGATTTTACCACTCGAGGCAGTCCAGTAGAGTTTGCTCCCCGCAGTGTCAACGGCGATCCCCATCGGGACGCTCCGGACCGAAACGAGCTCAGTAACATCGGAACCGTTGAGGTTCGCACTGTTGATAGTGCCAGAATTTTCACCCGTCTGTTCCGTCCAGTAGACTTTACTGCCACCGACCGCAATGTTCAGAGCATTATCAACACTCGCTGCGAATCTTTGGGGACTCGCGCCCACAAGTCCGTAAATCGCGCCACCGTCTACCCATAACATCGGCGGACGACTCGCCGCAGCGACATGCACAACCGGACTTATCGTGCCGGGCGTACCGCCTGTGCCGGGCGTACTGCCTGTGCCAGTATCCCTTGCACCAGATGCTGCATCCGTCGTGATCGTGAACGTGACGGTAGTAGAAATATCGTCAGTATTTGCCCGAACCGTGATAGTGCCACCATCTGTGGGGGTGAAATTGGCGCGTGCGAGTCCTCTTGAATCCGTCACGACTTGGATATTACGTCCAGCCCCGCGATCCGAAAGCCTACCCCGTCCCGAGAGACAACACGGAAAAAGACTCTCGCATTTGCAACACCGTCGCCGTCATCATCGAGCACTCGGACGAGCAGCGGTGAATCGAGTTGCGTGTTCACCGTGCCGCTGCGTGTACCTGGACCACTAATCTGGATGCTACTCGGCACTGCCGCGGTAGTGGTC